TTCCAATTTTCCCACGGACATTGTACCTGAAGATAGGAAAACAACGATTCATGTAAATGGTTCTAAGTTAGCTTATACCTATTAGAATTAGGCTGCTTATAACATGTTGTCTATGAAAAGGAAAAAATATCGGATTGTCGACTGTGTAGAATTAGCAATCAATACTAACTTATTTTCAAGGTTAAACGAATAGGAGTGTGTGTTTTTTTGCGGCTAATTTACAAGGTGTTAAATGACTATTTCCGTACCTTGTTGTGATTGTTCGGCTGCCATAATTGGAGCAAGATTCCTTGAATGCAATGGATAAAGAATAAATATGCACTGCAATTATAGATGTAAAACTGTTGATATTCGATAATCTACAGTCAAGTTGTTTTTTACGGCTGAAATTGTGGTTTAATGGTGATGGTGATGAATTGTAAACCACACTACCTTACTAATTAATTATCTAGAATAGGGCGTTTCTATATTAACGAGAATAAATGACAAAAACAGCGTCCAGCTAGAGGATCTAGGCATGCTATTTGATTGGTTGTATTAATAATAATACAAGTTATATCTTGCATTCAAAGCTATTGACATTAACTGGAAATAAAGTATTTTTCTTTAGGTCATATCGAGTCAGTAGTTATTATTATGCCAAACAATGATGCTTCTTTTCATCAATGATACTGGCTATAAATACTTTCAATCCATGCATATTTATTAGATATTGATCAATAATAAAAGTCTGGTAGTAGAAGCAATTGATGACTCTATCAATAAACTAGAAACTAGGAAAAGTATCGATAAGCTGCATTCCATGCTCACACTATGCATAGGACAGGGATCGTTGATCAATGAACGTTAGAAGCCATTGCTTTAAAATGATCTCATCATGCAATAGAGTAAGTAGTATAGAGATTTTGGACTTGAGGTATAGGCTAGACTGGGTAAAGTAATCGTTAAAATGGCCGATTAGCAAGTAATTAGAGTTGAGAAGGATAGGGCAACGAATATTGATTAATCTCAATTTTAATTGCTTAAAATGACACTACATGTATCAATATAGAATTTATTCTGGTATGGCGACCAATAGCAATATTTAACTGTTTCAATATTGACAGTCTGTTCATTTTTCTAGGCTGTTATGATAGTCTATTTGTCTGTTGAATTTATCGGGATGAATTTTTAGTTTATTTTTTCAGCTTTAATGACATTGATGTCGTAAACAAGTTTTGTATATCTGATTTCGCTAGTCTATCAGAGCAATGGCTCCTGAGTATATGAGTCAAACTATCATACATAACATTGCTGATAGTACAAAAATGTAATTGTAGCATGTAGGATAAAAAACGGAATTTAGAGCTATTTCTTCCATTTTCAATGTTCAAATCAAATTACCTTGCATTAACTCGTTCTATCCACTGTATAAGCTAGTGAATCGAGAGAGAGATTATAAAGTGAAGGACAAAAAATAGGTCTAGCTAGTTTCTACTACCATGAATGTCGATTTTAGCTACAATTCTATAAGTTGCCTGGGATAACTGCGTTGATTGATATTTTATTAATAAATAGAATGCTAAGCTATGTTCCGGTAGAGTTAATGATATTGAATATTTTAGCAAAATTATAACTTTCAAATGCCGATAAATTTGTCCAAGTTCTTCATTTATTCTCATTCCTTACTAACAAATGTGAGAAGCGAATTCTGCTTTGCTATCATGATAATCAGGCACTCCTTTATATTTTTTATTTTCAGTTTAATAATAATTTTCAATTGATCAGTATCAAAAGGTGAACTATAGCTTTCTACAATATGTTTTGTAGCCGATGTGTAGTTTCTATTTCATAGTGGGATTTGTATGAGTAAATTGCACAAAATTTTGCGGATAATATCGTAGGATTAGCGGGTATCAAATCGCGTTTCATATTTCCTACGGTATTTATGCAACAATTATTCTAACAGCATCGCGCTGTAACATGGTCTTCAATAATATTATATTCCTCTTCTTACACGGTAATGCTTGCGATAGAGCATGAGGTTGATTTTATTGCAATGCATAAACTCTTCTAATAAAAAATGCCTGAGGCATTGTATTTTCCATTACTAATATTGTACATATTCTTTCCTGTATCATCACAATTCCATCATTAAAATGATGATGTAGAGTGCTGCAATAGATTTTATGCAATGACATAGTAGCATTTAGTACATTGGCTAGCCTCATTAATACCCTTACAGCAATATTGTGTTCGAGTTAATATCTTTCAATGATCACGCTAGTCATTTCAACGACTCGCCATCTGCACTTCTCCAGTTTCTAATAGTACTGTATCATTGATTATTAGCGTATACAGATATCAATAGAAACGATTTGCTAATGCCCAATTATTCCATTTATTTTTCTCATTTTCCGTTGCCTATCGCATTAGATCTATGTTGTTATAGATTTTAACGGTAATCGTATGATAATGTCAAACTATTTTACGATGACTTTCTCATTTTCCGTTATCAATTGACACCAAATCTTTGTTGGTATAGATGCAAACGGAAATAATATCATAATGATTAACTACTCCATCCATATTTTTCTACTGTCTAATAGCACTTTATCTTTGATTAGTGGTAGATAGAAATGATGCAATGCCATTTTCATACTTGTGATAACGTTTTTTTCATAAATATTAATCACCTATTAATTATATAATATTCGTAATAGAGGTCTCAAAGATCACACATATCATTCTTCTCATTTTTCTTTACCTACAGTATATCACCTACATTAGTTTTAAGTCATTTATATACAAAGTGATTTAGCAAGACACTTCGGCAGCAAGTCAGTGATCATAATGCTATGGCCAATACGCCTGCTTAACTTGATCGTAATTTTTACTTGATAATCGCTTTAAGTCTGACTTATCTGTTCATGCAAGTGCTGCACATTAAATTTGATCCATTTACAAAGCAGCTACTCAAAAACTTCCTTTCAATTTTATAATGTAATTATAATTATTATGATTTCTTGAAGGTCATTAATAGGATAACGTCTGTTGCTGGAGCGAAGAATGGATGTTTACCCAGAGATCAAATTTGCATTTGTGCTATTGTAATAAAAGGATTACCCAATGGAATGCTCGAATGTGAGCTAATTCTTTTATTATAGCTCCAAGTAATTAAATTGTAATTTAATTTTGTTCAGGGCTTGCCTTAAAATTATAGATGGTATTATATTACATTTATGTCGAACCTCTGTAATTGTAATTACGAAGTAACTAAACGTACAGAGCATTATATGATATTCGCCAGAGGTAGAGACATAGGAAGGCAAATGCGTACCTCATCTATCTCAAATAATAAAATATATTCACTTAGGTTCAGACTGAGAATCTTCTAATACAATTTAATGATCGATCAGGGGTCATTTCTAGTAATGAGAAATTTTAATTTTTGTTAATACACTTTGCATTACAAATGCATTTATTATGTTAATTATGAAATGCAGATTGTGGAGAAGTCAGCCTACTGTATATTCAATATTCTTTAGATTTTAGAGCGTGCCATTCAAAAGTAGAAATCGCGGAGCTTGAGTGAGGTGTTGAAGCGAAAAATGGAAATTTTCATCTAATCCCTCCATATAATAGGAAAGCATAAGCTTCTGTAACTGTACTCTACCCAGTAGGAACGTGTTTTATAAGTAATAGAACCGCCATGTTAGGATGCATAGTTGCTTACTGATGTTATCTGTAATTCAAGTACATTTTGTATGCTGCTCGTATTGATAAGCAGATAATAAGGGATAGCACCTGATCGTTTAGTTTTAATAAATTAGATGAAAAACAGTTCTCCAGCCGAGATCTACGAACATCAGTTAGATGATGGAACGCAATGGAAAATTTTATTTTATGATTTAAACGCATTTCGCCTACAATTTGATTTAATCTCTTAAACCCGTCACCAAATACAGTATCACTGCATATCATGCTGCATGCTGCACTGTATATGAGAAAATTTCTGTATGCCGAGTTGCAGATTCAGTGTAGTACTATCTCCGTATTTCATACTACCCGCATATTCTCTCATACTAACTAATTTTTCACTATTTTTAATATTCAAACTATTTCTCGAGATAATGCATTTCTACAGCTGATTTCACCACCATTAGCTCGCCAACAACCCTTGCAAGAAGTTGTTAGCATTGTTATAAATGCAACTGCTATTCTAAAAATCTGCGTTGTCGTGGTACATGGCCCGATTTGCTATTTTCTATAGATGACTTCATTTGCATCTACTCATTAGCTATACTTTATATTATAAGGTGCAAATCCTATCTTGAATTTTTCGAACGCTTGACTGATTTCGTTGAGATTGGTAGTATATATTAATTATTATTATTAGATTTGATTAGATTTCTACATAGAGTAGCAAAGAGGTAGATGCTGGAGACAGATTCTAGTTCCTATACAGACTCTACGGCGATTAACTTATTATATGATAGAGTATAGCTTGCTTCATCTTGTCAGAGTATCATTACTACATTATTATTGCGACACACACTTTTAGTAGAACACCGCGTACCGTAAGTATACGCATGCTCGATGGTTTCATAGCAACGGAATTAATACGATAACACAATTTCTACTCGGTCTTAGAGCTCTCTTATAGTTATGCCAATAGCCTTAAGGAGTCGAGGCTTAACATTATAAATTTTGATCTCTACATTACTGCATCACTATCAAATCACTTACTAACCGAACTGTAAGTAATCAATTTTAACTTGTAAGTACTTTATCGCATTATTCAATACGTCATAGGCTATCCAGTAACGATCTACTTAGTCTCTTCTCCACTATCAGATCTTATTAATTTGTCAATATTTTGCTAATTGGAATTTTAGCTTGATCAAAACAACCATTGGGGTACGCCACATAGATCTAAAAACTTCTAACTCTAAACACATTTTACTTCGATTCTTCGATCAACGTGAAGTCGTTAACAGACTGAATTCAGTATTGTCGTGATGAATGTCATTCATATTCCAAGTACTTTAAAGCCTTCGGTCTGCATATGGGAAGATTTAAATACTGGGCAACTAGATAGAATTGATGCATGTGGAACTGCTGAAGATGTTAAAGGAATACTGGCTGAAATGTTTAACCTACGTGACTATGATAAAGATTTAAAGATGGGCATTATTATAGACCTTTTTTATTATACCCTGCAGTTTGCTAAGGAAAATAATTTCTCTCAGGAACAAACATCAGCTTTTTTCTCTATTGTCAAGAGAGTGCATATGGCTAATATCGATACACCATTTGGGAATATAGAAGCCGTCTATAAATATTTCAAGGAACTACTATTCTGTCATAGTGTTAATAGACCACCATACAGTATTTATATCTTTTCTGTCATACAAGTCAAGTTAATTATAACTTACGTTATCAATACGTATTTTAGACACTTAAAATTATACAAATATGCTTTTACTCCCAAAGTAAGGATGGATATTGCGTTCGATTATGTTGGAATGCCTGCTAATCAATTAATACCTGTAGAAGAGGAAAAGAATGACGATGTAGAAGAAGATACAGGTGATAAGGAAATTGAAGAAATTGTAGAAACAAAGGGTGAAACCACAGAGACGACAGATTCTATTAAAGGAGAAGAAGTCGAAGCAGATGAAGCTGATGATTCAAAAAATAGAATAAAAACACTTATAACTACCACATTACAGGAACAATTACAACAAATGAAATTGACAATAGATCATCAGATTAGGCAAAATGATGACATTATAACTTCTAAAATTAAAGCTGTTGAAGAATCTGTTATAGGAAAGGGTGGCAAAGGAAGTAAAACAAAGAGAAGATAAAGACTTGTTGATATGTAGTATTACCTTGAGGTTTATAATTTGCGATACTTCATTCTATTTGCCATCTGATGCTTTTACTTAGCATTTTATATCCGAATAGATGGTATATTTGTAGCTAGTCACTATAACATTAACATTTATTACGAATTCAATTATTATGAATTTGTATTAATATCTAATGTTTCGTATGTGCCATGCATTTCATGAATAACGAATTTGTAAAATAACAGAATGTACATAGTTTGCAATAAAAGGCTATAACTATTCTTTAAAGAGTAGCTAGGCCTTCCTTATCAAGTGCGTATAAGAAACTATAGAAGGAATGTATCATTCTTTCACTTTAATAGTAATATTGTTTAAAAATAATAAATGAAGGAATCCTAGCCTTCAAAATATACGTACCATGATGTATCATTACAACTAGAAACAATATCAATAGTATTTGGATAACATCTATAGCTAGCTATAATTAATCGTCAGTTAATCTTCGTTTATCCAATGTAATCAAATAGACGTTACAAATTATAGTTTCTTAAACTCTAAGAAATACTACGAATATACGTAATATACGTATACAGTTTATGACTTAATCAACCAATTATTATTGGAAAGTTTTTAAATGCAGATAGAATTTTTGCAATCTCATTTATTGAGTAATAGCCTTTTAAGTAAATAGCCAAACAGCGTCAATATACAGCCATCTGTCATTCTTTTCATAATAATATAGTATCTATTTCAAGTGTGATTTAATATGCTTTTAAAGGGTTAAACTGTAAAAAATATTGTGACTTTGTATTCGATAAAATCTCGCTAAACTATATAACGCTTTCATTCAAATAATAGCTAATGGGTTAGCACCGCTATATCAAAGATCTAGGTACAAAAACACAATAGAATAAATCTTAACAGCAAAACACACAGTCCGGTTGTAAATCAACATTAAAGTTGTATAACTCGATTAACTGAGTTAAGAATACTTTATCTGCACCAGGATATAGTCCCATTTCCTCAAGTTCCGAGTTAGAAATCTGATGATCCGGGTTACTTGAAATATCGGTCAATTTCTGGAACAAGATGTCGTTCATAGCGCGGAAAAATCTATGGGCAAAATTTTGTTTTAAATGTATAGTTACAGTAAAATAATCAGAGAAAATGATGCAATTAATTTACCGGATATATTTTTCTTCACTTTCTTCATCACCCTGTTGAAGTTGCTCTTGCAGACTACCAATCGGTCTATTAGGATACGTTACATATATTTTTATAATCATGTCAATAGCTAAATATATCACTATCTAACGCTATTCTGAAACATTTATAAATAGATTTTTGTAAGCCTATACGAAAGATGTGTATTCGAATACTGAACCTTAATTGAGAAAGAGCAGCGAATCTCTTTCTGTCTTCAGAAGTGACTTTTGTTAAAGGTTCAATATTGGGAGATGTAGAACTTATGTTCCGAATATCGATGAAGGCGTCATATAAGTTTTTCTTACTCTCAAAAACTTTCTCCGTGGTACCTACAGTTCAATATTAATCACACATTAACGTAATCAAGAAAAAATATGTAAATAGGTAATTATGCAGCGTAGTTACAACGATAAGCACTTAGAATTTCAGTCAGAATTACAAATAGTAAGTAATATAATTAAGCCTCACATGCAACATAAGTTTTTGTAGATGATAGTTCGGCAATGTCAGCTACATTTACGTAGAATTGTGGTTGAGTTTGTGATTCACGCAGCGATATGGATGATGACGACAACAAGCTGCAGCAGTATACTAAATTTAATTAAAGTATAAATTTTCATTTATAATTGTAATTTGAAACGTTTTCAGACGCTATAGACGACAATCGCGATCGAAATTTCGTAAAGATTGCAATCATCAATGAGTATGATTTACCCCGATAGCAAGCGATGCCAACAGGTGGTGGGGAGTAAAATAGGATTTTTTTTTGTAATAAAATAAGTCTCCATAGTGGAAATATCTTTACACCGAAAAACTTAATAAACTGAGAAAAGCATCCAGCAGGATGTGTAATCTGTGCATATAAATGAATTCATTCGTTAGGTGGCATAGAAAAATAGGTACTTTACAAGATTAAATCTTATCAACATTTCGATTATGCAAGATATTTTAAAGCCCGATAAAATAAAAGAAATTATGTTTTAAAGCGATAGTTAAGATATGAGTAATTTTGGCAACGCTATAATGATATTCAGTATATTCGCTAATTAATAACCTTACCTTCAATACTGATGTATTACTTCCATAAGGTTGAATTAAGGATTCATTTAAATCTATATTATTGGTAAAATACTCTTGTAATCTTTGATAGTTACCCGGGCTATTTAACTGCTTTCTATAAAGTATAAAGAAAATATATGGGATAACTTTAGATGACTTTCATGAGAATTCTCTGTAAAGTGGTTAAAAGGTTAATAATATAATTGTAAGCAAGAGTTTTATTTAATCAATATCAGTAATATTTTAATTTATGGTAGACTAATGATCATTTTCTATGGTTAAAGGCTTTGTTGATAAAATTATCTTACTTACACAACTTCGCTCTCCAAGAAAGGCATGTGTAAATGTAAGGTTATGAAATGCTTACAAAGTATTCCGACTGATTTCATACGTACACCGCGTTCTTCTTGGTTATCGACTTGAATTCTTTTAAAGCAGCTAAGTCCATATAGATCTTGGCCATTTCTGAAATATCTGATTACCAAAGATAGAGTATAGGCATATTACAGTATATGAGCAGCAAGGAGATTAAGCCATATTTTTAATTATACATTATTAATTATAAAACACCAGCGATTTCAATATAAAAATAAATGCTGATGATTTGGCCACTGTATAATAGCACACTCGAGCGCGATGCATAAGACTTGTGATTGTACAATGGACACATCATATATATAATCTATATTTATTCTTTTAAAGTGTCTAATCAATACCATAGTGCGGAAGGATGGGCTACGGCGATTATCTTTCGTAATTACGTAATGTATTTTGGTCCTATTTACAGTTTCCTATACAGTACTGCTCTAAAGTGTTTTAGTGAAGAGATGATGGTAGTTAAAATTTCGTACACAACTAGCTCTCTAGCTATATATGAAGAGATGACAAAGCCACTATGAAATACGATTATCACTTATACATGTTAGCTTTATACCAAATCTTCAGTAACAATGTAATGGCCACTGTAGAGAAGTGTAGCTCCTAAACATTGGTATGTCAATTGAACAGGATGATGAAAGCTAAAGTTACGTGTATTGGTAGTTCGTAGGCGCTTTAGAGAAATAAGATGGCGATGAAGTACGAATGTCATTGATATGCATTAAGCATGTGCAAAATCTTCAGTAATTAACTATGAGTAAAGACTACTGTAAATAAAAGTGATGATTGCATCTTATTTTATGTTGCCGACCACGGGTTCTACACATATTTATCTTACCAACAAAACAAGTTGATGGCAACTAAAATTTTGATACACTGAAAACTGGTAGTTACTTGTAAAGAAATAAGAATGATTGGATAAAAGATCAATATCACTTATGTTAAGCTTACACAAAATCTTCAGAGACTGTGTGGCTACCACTTGGCATTGCTTTAAATTCAACGGCATTCAATTGTACTCCACTGGGTACACAGTATTCGACAACATTCCCTACAGTCCGCAAGGAGAGTACATGTTTACATGGTGATCGTGTTATTTCAAGTGTATTACTATTTTACTGAAAAGCATCGCGTGATATTTCATCAATGATTACAGTATCCAGTGAATGGATGATAGAAGACGAATACATAATAGAGTAGAATCGATATTATAAGGATAAAACACCATAGCCATAATTTATTTACAATAACGCGTAGTCTAGCATGCAATGAATCAATGGACAAGTAGTACTGGACTGCCTGATTTTATTGTAAAAGAATAAAACGTTGACTTGATATTTTATCAATAATTTACCACTTTTAGTATCGAAACTGATTACAAATAAAGCCACAACATGATTCTTTAATAAGCGATTATTCAGTGTTGGTGTTGATGGATATCGCGATAGGTCAGGCTGAAATGTTTTTCGGTCATAGCTAGTCTTTTGGGGGCTTTGATCGAGCAGATTCTCCAGTAACGGTTGTCTTTCGTTGTCTGACATTGCCATCTTGCTATACTTACACTAATTGATTTCGATTCATCAGACAATAGTAATATGATAGAACATAGCTATCATCATCAGTATGGCTTATTTCTGTGTCGATTAAGAAATTAATGAGGCAAAGCAATGGTCTGATTGATGAATTTTAGCGAGAAATTTGTAATTCCAGCCTATTAACCTTGATTCATGACGTAGAACTATGGAAGTGCGTCATGCATTGCCAAACAGTTATAGTATAGCATAACTGTACACTGTATGGTAAAACCGAAGCCCAAAATACGGTACAGTAGTACAGTACTAAACACAGTACAAGACGGAGTTTGCAGGTTAGGGCAGGGACTACTCAAGCTCCAAATTCTCCCCTCAAAGCCGTAATTAAAAAATTTTCCCTTATACTAATAATACACGAGACAGGCAACGAATCGACAGTACCTAATACCAACAATGTCTGGTATATTTTTAGTATAGGGGAAATGGTTTAGTTGCGGCTTTGAGAGGAGAATTTTCAAATTGAGTAGTCCCCCTGGTTAGGGTTCTGGTTCTGTACGCCCTTGCACTACGGTCATATGGCAGTGGCAACAATGCTGCATAGAGTATCACTATGATACAGCCATTATCCGTGTTGCTAGCGAGCTCTACGTTACTGTATGGATAGTGTGGCGAGTGCTGCTATTCCGTGATTTGGACAGCTAAAATTGTAATTTATAAGCTGTTTACAATGTAATCAGATTCCTACATACAGTAGTTAGCAAGTACTCAGAGCTCGAGAATGATCAATTTCAACCGTCTTTATAATCTTTCGTATGATCGATTATACAACACCTTGACCACCAGTTACACTATCGACTAATTACGTGAATCATGCACTGTAAACATTCTTCAATTCTTTCCATCGCTTTTTATGGAGACAAATTTACAGTAATAAGCCATCACTAAACTGTAAAGATATATAGGACATTATGTTGCTATCGGGATATCAAAGCTGATCATTAAAGATGCCTTACAAAATTAAACAGTTTAATATGATTATTAGATTGCTACACTACGAGATGCTTTCCAAATCGCAATGTAAAGAATAGAGATGGAGATCAAAATATTGAAATATTGCCACAGATTGAGCTTATAGATTACATATCAAAGCAAATAATAATTTGTCTTGGGTATATTTAAAGATGTGCATTTTAAAAAAACAATAAAATTGACGCATTACAGGCATTGGCAAAGTATAACTACAAATAGCTACAATATAGAAATGATACATGGTTAAGCTCTAAACAACTTTTCCTTGTTCTTGTAAATATTTCTGTGCTTGTATTTCTTTAATCGAGATTTAGATAGAGGTATAGGTTGCGCGCTATACGTAGGCTCGTTCATTCCTGCATTACAGCGTTAACAACGATTAATTAATACCTTATTATTGTTAAATGCATCAATAAAGTAATAAGACTCATTTAGACTTACCTAGCATTTTCCGGAAACTTGTTGTTACTGATTTGTCCCAATCAGATTGAAAAAATCTTAGTCCAACTGGCTTAAGAGAGTCTTGATGTTGTATTAAGAAGTTGTATGTTGAGAAAGAACGACTACAATGTAATTGTATACAGTATGTCAGTATTGTTACTAACATCTTTATGGTCATCATTTCTAAATATGTAAAAATTTTAGATGATAGAAATGGCTTTAAAAGCTAAATTAATAACTAACTCAGCAATGTCCGTGATTTGATCTGGAACTGGTATTTCCCTGCTTTGTTTGCATAATAGAAATATTAATCGATGGTATCCAGTGCCTCTAATAGGTAAAGGCTGCAAGTATTTACAAGCTTCTACGCCTTTAATAGCTGTTGAAGGCGCCATATTAATCCTGAAAGATATATATATATATCATTTCATGGATAACCTTATCACATCATAACTTTGGGCTAAAGATAAAAGTAGGAAGTATTTTTAATATCCGTTTACATACAATAACCAATGCAAAATTTCAGATTCCTGTTGATTTTCGATAAATACTCCATCTGTAAGAGATTATATTTATATTGAGCTCTAGTTAATACTGCATCCATCTTCAAAGCAATATTGATCAAGATAACACGAACAGTTTATGTACTGTAATATATTAATAGTTATTATCAAGATCATCAGCATGAAATGGTTTTCTTACCAGGATTGATCATAATTAATGTCCATAAACCGTCATTATATTTCGGTGCAAATGAAATTTTTGGACGAGCTGCAGTCTAGAGTAATCAGAATAAAATGATAGTATGTCCTAAGTAAACGGTGTCTCAATTTAATGCATCACAATTGCTTGTGACACAACCAATTGCTATCGAATGGGTGTATTACTTTCCCATAAGTAACTAGTTACCTTTGATGGTGATATTAAATTGCCCCATTGCACTCGATAGTTCGGATACTCAACTCCAAAATTGACGGTAGGAAAAAAGGGATAATCCATAAGTACATCCTTAAATATACCATAGTGTTCAGCCACAGTCATGACATGCTTTGGGCCAGTAGTAGACAGCCAATCATCATACACTCGACTTAAGGGTATTTGAACTACAAGGGATGTTATTGGGCCAAGGTTGCATTATGCAGAGTTATAAAAGTGAAAATATAATTATAATCAAACCCCGAAACAGTGCATTACTGCAGATACTAAACTAATATACAACGATAGAGCTTAATTCAAGTAAAGTACGAATAGCAAGTTTAACCCTATCAAGTTAGCAAGGTCAGGTTACTTGTATTTAAAGTTAGTAAGACTGTTAGCTTACGTTCTTTACGTCTAGAAGCCTGTTCAAGTTGAATGCTTCTCTTATTATGATGCAGTATGGATTTCCTTTGAGATTTGGTCAGGTCTGCTACCGGTAAGTCGTTGATATTAGGTTGGCTAGCAGCTGTTATCAAGATATAGAATTAAATTGACCCATTTTAGATAAGGCTAGATTATAGCTGAAAAATCAATTTAACTGTATCGAATATTAGATCAGTTTATCTAGATTCTATAACTCACATAAGGTTGAATTACGGCATGCAATGCAACCTTGTAGGAAAATTCTACTCCTTGCAATCGAAGATGATCTTCCAACGAGGGATCGAATTGAAATCTCCATAACTTCTATTCGGTGCTGTTATCTCATATGCAGTATAGCACCACAGTATCTCCAATAAAAATCTTGAATTATTTGTTAATCAAGTAAAATGAATAACCTACTTGGCAGAAATGGATAGGATAACCGCATAAAGTAATGGAAAGATTAATGCCAGCTGGATCTGATTCGGTAGCTAAGCCAAAGCTAATTGGAAGAATTCCTTTATTCCTTTACTATTGAGTCTGAATACAGCACGTTTATCCACTACTCTTATAGGTAATTTGCATGATACAATCTTGTTTAACGTAACACTACTGGATAAGTGATTGGCTAAAATTTGAACTATTAATGATATGAATTGATATTGGTCCTCAAGCTCGTCGCTATGATGGAAGTTTTATTAGCTGAAGTCGCACAGGACCCCAGCTTGCAGTGAGATCGCGTGCAGGTGTGCTAAACTATATACAGTACAGGACTGCGCAATAGTACACATCGACGACTATACTAAACAGTTCAACGAGCGGGCGATTAAAAAAAGCGTATAGAACAGTACAGTACATTTTACACTACAGTACACTGTACTGTAATATATTGTACTGTACAGCCTATCCACCATCTACTGATTCAATACATAATGTACGGTGTATACCATATAGTGGTCATGGAGTTTTTTGATCTCTATCGATGATGGTCGAAAGACCACGGCATATCGTTGCACCTGCGCTTTTTACCTAAAGCAGACGTTGAAAAAGTAGCCACACTTTGACAAGCAATATGGCGTCGAATTTGGGAGATGTAAAGCTTCGCGATTTTGGTGCTTGGCTTTCTCAGAATGTTAGACCTAGTGTACTAAAGCAGCGAATATCAACTGTCTATGGCAACTATGTACAACGAAATTTTACTGCCCGTAGAACGCGTTTGAGGCCTTTTGTTCATATTGTTCTTGGTGTCGTTGTCGTCAATTACGCCTTTTTCGAATACAGACATATAATCCATGATCGCCAGCGAAAGTATCACTGAAATGCCAAATTACAGCTAGTCAAGAAAGAAAGAAGAACGTTTCCTGTAATCAAAATTGACTTTAGGAACTAGACTTTATCTAACATTAATTAAACTTGGACGCTGTAATGTTGTAACGTGCAATACTCTTCGTAAAACGCTGTGTCTTTATTACAAGTTACTGCCAACAGATTGTAGCTTTTGGATCTTACTTGTGACAAGTTCTTTCAGGCTGATCCCTCAAAGCTTCTCTTTTACTCAGTACTATATTTGTACCTAATGCTATAACAGTGTTTAGAACTGATTTTTTCAAAGTATGAAATATCAATATTGTATTACATGATAACAATCCAAGTATATTGCATCATATGAATAGAATTGGTTTTGTTATCAGTTGGTATGTCTAAAATGGGTCATCCGAATGTTTTCATCTGAAAAGAGTTTGCAATAAATCGCTTATAGCCTTGATTTAATATTAATAATCTAAACGCTCTTTTACTCATATACTGTGTGTATATAAGCAATATCATATCAATAGCGGTAGAAGATGTTCAAATCCTATTAACTTTGCGAACAAGCGCTATATGGTACTGAGCAGTGAGCATACGTATGTCGTACATGTATTTAACGTAGGCTTTTTTGATTTTGGTACCACGGCTATTTTGAATTTATACTATGTCGCATTAGAAAATAGTAGCACCTAAGCACTCCTTTTAAGAATTAGTGAGGTTATGTATCTTCGATTTTTTACCATCAATTTTGGATCTACTCGTATATTGTATCCGAAACTAAAACGTAATACTTAAGTAAGCACCGGTACAACATTATCGAAGGACACCTGTGACATTGGATTCGATAGGAGCTAATTTAGATGTAAACTATAATTAACCTATACGAAAATGCAGCATCTAAGTAAGCACAGATACAACAAGACTAGTAAGGATACTATACAGCTATGTCCTCCGATCTGCATGGTGTTTAGTTCAGAAACGAACTGTTTTAGCCCTAAAGCATTGATAGAGGAGTATGGCATGAAAGTAAGATTATGCTATCTTAAGCAAAGATTCAAAGTCGAACACTATTTCTCAAAAACAAAGATCGATTTTTACTCGATTTTTTGATATAGTGTATATGTGCAGGTATATCCTTCTACTATACGTATATATCATAGAATTGGATGCTTTACTTAAGATCACAATCAACATTATTCAAGTAGTGCCTTTAATACCTCTAAAAAAGGAAATAGTGTTTTAAACTTAATAAGTTGAATTAAAATTTCTATGCGCACTCAATCAACGAGAACATTTCTTCCAAAGTTAAATACCATGCTTTGTATAGTTCATTGCTTTTAAACTATAAAGTTGTATTACATTATCAGTTTGATGTGAAAAATTGAAAATAAGGGAACATTTTAAGTAGGCTCCATTAGATACGATTTAGCTAGCCTCATCCCATATCATCTCTCCCCTTTAGATATATGCAAAAAACTAAATCTCATTTAGCATAATTATAGCAATTGGCCACTAGTCAGGTGTATCATGTATTTTACTAGTAAAATACATGACTTGAAATAAGGGAACATTTTAAGTAAGCTCCATTAGATACGATTTAGCTAGCCTCATCCCATATCATCTCTCCCCTTTAGATATATGCAAAAAACTAAATCTCATTTAGCATAATTATAGCAATTGGCCATTAGTCAGGTGCATCATGTATTTTACTAGTAAAATACCTGACTTGATTATCATGTCTATTCTCCGTCCATTTCCTGAATTGGCACAAGACTAATTTAGCGTCAGACTTAAAAATTTATTATCGATATTATTTTAGCTTTCAAAAGTAGCTTGTTATGCGTATAGTGTAGCCAACTAATACTTTAGAACTGTAAGCAACTGATTGAAACTATCCTAGTCCTGAGATTTGAAAGCTGTTAAAGCTAACAATATAATCACATCAAATCTTTACCACAATGTATATACATTTTAAGGATACATATTTATAGATAATCGACTTTGGTAAATGAACTACATTATCTTACTTATAACCTAAATCATCAAATGATATTTTATTTCACTTATAAAGAATGGATTTTCGTAAGTATCGCTTTTTTGAATCAATTACTATAAATTTTCTTTACATGAATCCAATTCAATGAAATAATTCAATGCTGAAAGCAGTAATGATTACTTTTAGTTTGAATAACTTTTTTAAGGAGTACTCAAGTTACCAGCGTAAGACTATGATAAGATTATGTATGCTGAATGATCGTAGATAAATGCTGATCAAAGTATTATAATGCTAGTGAAGGCGTTGAATAAAACATTGGCAGGATATCTAAATATTTCATTGATACAACGAATCTTTATCCTATCATTAAATCAATAAAATATACAATCAACTTCAAGTACTCTCTGACAGATCAAAACATCTTCAAAGATCAGCGTAAAGTCAAGTATCCGGGGCTTTGAGATATCGCCAATACAATACAATAAACGATATAATTAGTTTGCATCTTCGTGTTGGATTGGCAGTGCAAAATATCTAGATATGATATTGGGCACGCTGGTATCGAATCATAAACTCCGGAAGAATAGTTTCCTGTACACATAAAGCAAGTAATTCATGATGATTACGAAAGTTGCAATAGCTTATTCTTTATCCTTTTTGTCATTGCTTTTGGAAGATGACCTAATTACATCTTCTACTTTTGATAATAATGTGGTGCCTTCTTTACCAACGTCGGGCATCTTACATTAAAATATGAAAAGATATTTTGTTAAGCAGAAATGAAAGGGTAGTATTGAAAATACTGCTGAATATCATACTGATTAATTGATTATTATAGATTGCTAAATGTATATACGTATTTAATCTATACAGTACATATGTACTCGTGCATGTACACGTATATCACATTCACCGAAAGACCTTCTTTCCCAAGCGAAATACTGTACTGTACAAGGCAAAAGCAGCTATATACGATACAGTATGTTTGTGTATTTAAAATTGGATAATTAAGAAATAGTGTACCTGGTAATTTTGTGATAAATATATCCCTAGTATAACTCCTGAGCAAAGGCCAACCTAAAGGTATTATTTATATCATTGACAAAACATTTTAGTAATCTGTCGTAGTTTATTGAAGTAATAACAAAATTCCAAGCAATATTGATCAATATTATTTGTCACATATGCACTTATACAGTTCAGTACAGACTACAGAGGCATCAAACTTACAAACAATGAACCGAGGCGGCTACTTGAAGACATCCCAAGTTTTGATTTCAACCGAATTTTCAATTACAACTAAATACTTTATCGTTAATGTTATTTTGAGTTAAGTTAAAACAGGCTTTGGTGGATCCAGGGTTGATCGTTTTCCTTGCCTTGATGAATTTGTAGGAAATACTACAGGACTTTGTCCTACTGTACTGTACTGTACTGTAGACTACCGTACTGGACCGTACTTAATGTACAGTGTACAGTACTGTACAGTGCAATACTGTAGTGTATAGTAATTGCAAGTTCAATGCTTTAGTGTTCCACACTGAGCAATAAGAACGAATATTCTGCATTTATACTACAAGTTATCTAGATTGTTGATGATTATATAAATGCACGACTTTATCGTAAAAGCTTGATAGTGCAGCATCGAAAACACCTGTAGTAAATGCAAGTTAAGTGCTTTAGCGTTACACATTGAGCAATAAGAACGAATATTCTGCATTTATACTACAAGTTATCTAGATTGTTGATGATTATATAAATGCACGTCTTTATCGTAAAAGCTTGATAGTGCAGCATCGAAAACACCTGTGGTAAATGCAAGTTCAATGCTTTAGTGTTACACATTGAGCCATAAGAGCGAATATTCTGCATTTATACTACAAGTTATCTAGATTATTGATGATTATATACAGTAAGACTTTATCGTAAAAGTTTGATAGTGCAGCATCGAAAACACCTGTAGTAATTGCAAGTTCAATGCTTTAGCGTTACACATTGAGCAATAAGAACGAATATTCTGCATTTATGCTACAGGTTATCTAGATTGTTGATGATTATATACAGTAAGACTTTATCGTAAAAGCTTGATAGTGCAGCATCGAAAACACCTGTAGTAATTGCAAGTTCAATGCTTTAGCGTTACACATTGAGCAATAAGAACGAATATTCTGCATTTATACTACAAGTTATCTAGATTGTTGATGATTATATACAGTAAGACTTTATCGTAAAAGCTTGATAGTGCAGCATCGAAAACACCTGTAGTAATTGCAAGTTCAATGCTTTAGCGTTACACATTGAGCCATAAGAACGAATATTCTGCATTTATACTACAAGTTATCTAGATTGTTGATGATTGACTAAAATTGGAATAGAGTGGTAATTGTTCGGATTTCTAGCATGACCAATTGATCATGGCTACAATAAGGGATAACAGGTATTCTGAGTTCATATTACATCTTACTATATGAGAGTGCTGCATGATTCAAACTAAAGTACAGATAATGATCATAATAATATACAGTATATAATATTCATACTATACTGTATAGCGAAAGTTATCGAACTTAGAAAGCTAGTTACCATTATGACTATCACCGGTAGTATTAGAAATACGCGTATAAAACGAATAATTGAAGTATCAGATGCGATGCAGTAACGAAAGATCGTAAGTGGTATTGATACTTTCGGATGGTCTACTATACAGTACAGCAATAAAAAATATAAATAAAATACGCTTAGTTAATTAGGACTATTATTAATTAATTGATCATTATAATTACATGGATATATACTGTACTACAGCTATACTAGAACTCTGCCAGCAAATACGACATACTGTTATGCATTTAGTGTTGGGGAAGACGTCTATAATTGCATACGGTAAGGTACCATACGTCCAAATAGAGTATACTGTATTATATCGTACAGTCTTCATGGTACAGACGTACAGACGTGTGCCATTTTCGTGCAGAAATTACGAATCTCTATCGTTCACCGACATCTCATGAACTTTGGTGCCATCCCTTTACTGTGGATACTTATACATGTTCTAATACAGCATTTGAATCTTAGCAATCATAGCCAATTACCTTGGAAGCTGCCTTCTGCTAAAATTGTGCATGGATCATTTAATTCAGCCGAGCTCATAACTGCAATAAGAATACAACTAAAACAGCATCCCACGACGCGATAGTCATGATTAACTTACTGCAAGGACGTCGAGGTAACTTGTAGTCAATACTGCAGTTCAAACAAAGATAAAAAAACCTGAGAAATGAACGATTTAAGAGATACAAGCAAGCATAATGAGAATGCATCTGATGCATTCATGCAATTATTAGGTATGGAAAGATGTTGAAAATAACACCCATATTTTGGCGGTTATATGCATTTCTGTTTCAATCACTTTGAATGAGACTATTTCTCTGATGACTGATATCATACTTACTTGCATCATCCAATAGCTCAAAATCAACCTTCTCGTAATCCCACTTGTCCGGATAGGATGCAGTTGCAGACTAATATTTTACAATTTTTAGACCAATCCGTACAATTGAGCTCTTGCTTCAGTGAAATGGTAATCATGTTTATGACGGCCTAGTAGATTAGAAATGACGTTGAAAACGATTAAAGTATTATTTCTAACGCGGTATTATGTTGAAATTGTTGCAGGGTCCAATGGACTTTGCCAATTGTAGCCAAGGTATTGCATAATAACAATGCATAATAATTACATCTTGCATTGACATACAATAAAGCTTTTCTATCATTACTACTGAATCGTTGCAGCCTATTGCAGTGCTTCTCTGCTAGTTTACTGCACATAGGTATACACGTATATAATACTGAATTTGCAATGCATTCTATTACAGCTGAAGTATGGGCGAAAAAGTATAAGATTCAAGATGGCACAAATTGCTCGACCTTACCGATTTACTTTGCGACAGCTATTAATCAAAAAATAATTGAACTCTTCCCAACTAATGCTAATATTCCAGTAAAATATTACCTCAATTTTTTAATGCCGACCGAAAAGAGGGTTAGTACTATGTTTATATTGCAAATATATATCTTTATCTAATTTCATTTCTAGTGAAGAATGCTAACATGAACTACATATTGTATGACTGTATACTTTATAGGCTGCATTATCTGAACTGTTACAATCAGCTGCTTTATTATATTCGAAAAATATGTTAGATCGCGATTACTTCATTGGTCAATTTCTATCAAGGGTTCGTCATGTATAGTTTTAGTTTTACGTGCTTTCGTTAGTTATAGCGGTATAATTAATTTTTATATACACGTATTACGTTTAGGATCACAATATATCCGTTGAAATAATGTGGAAATTATGCCATCTTAACTTGGCCACCTTTGATGACCTTTTAAATCGGTATATGCAATTTTATTATTAAGTTGAAGGAGATCAGTCATAATTACTATGTTACAGAACCGCATTACATAAGCAGACCCAAGCCTTCAATGAAAAAGTTGTATTGATTTCAGATTATGTAGGCAAAGAAGAAATTTTACCAAGCATTTGGCAGGTTCGATTATCAGCAACTATCAAGAACAGCCCGAGGATGTCACTGTAGCTCATATTTCTAATGTAATCTCTTGTAAGTTTGCGCCGTTATATAACTATTGCATCTCTAACACGATAATCATACATAGGACATGATAAATTATCGATTGCGTCCTGTATGATACCTATACGGTACAATCATTGAATAGATTAAATATCAAATTTAGATATTATGAGCGACGTTCTATCGTACTTGGAGAATAGTTCCGTAGCTGAAGATGAAACACACAAGGTCTGTTAATTGTTCACTGTCAAGACTCAATTTACAGGCAGTTAATCTATTTATCTCTATTTCATTTTAAATATTTAGCGCTTGCGTGAATTTATGGATTATTTTATTGAAAGTAGGTAACTCAAAGCTAATAGTTACTATTGAAACAGATTTGTAACATTTGCAAATGACTAATTTTAATATACCCTATATATTAAATCAGACTACATTGAGCACTTTCGGTTAAATTACGAAAAGATGAAAAATAAGCAATGCAATATTAACAAGTAAGAATTTGCAATACAATCAAATAATTGAATGATTTTAGAAAACTATCATATTATATAGATATGTTAGTACAGGTATTTGTAACGGCACAATTTTTCTTATAATGATGGCAATTTATTGATTTTATCTTACCGTATACAGCCTAGATTTAATGAATTTACTAAAGTCACTGAAATCGATCAAATCGACGCCTACTATTGAGCAAATTTTTACAACACAGATTATGAAGCTACTAAAATGTTGCAATGATGCTGTTCTTAAAGGTAAGCGACCAGCAGTACGAGTATACCATATAATACACACTGTCTAGATCAGCAAATTATTTTAAAAGTGCACACGAAGAGTAGAGTAGTTCTTAACATTACAATTATAACCAAAGAGAAAACTTTCATAAATAAATTATCACATGATTTATCCAGTTTACAAATGGCGGAAATCATTTTATTAAATTACAGACATAAACTCATTTAAAGTATGTAACCCTGACCTTAATGATGAGATACAGTAGGTCATTTCGGGTTATGGTAAGATCGAAGGTATTAATATATTTATATTTTGGTATTTAAATTGTAGACCTAGAAATCTTATCGTTACAGAATCGTTGGCACCGTAAGGGATCCTTACAGTCTTATTATGTTTTATTTACCGAGGTATGTCATCTCGGCCAATGCCTTTAGTGTCTTTTGATACTAGATTTATGTGAAAGCAACTATCCTATTGTTAGTGTTATCTGTTTAACTCCTACGCGCTTCTACTTTTAGTTACTCAATTTTGTCGATGCTAAAAAATTAAGAGAAACAGTCTTTAACGTGTTATCCCAACGTGAAAAGGTTTCGTTTTGGAATACTTTTGAATATTTTATACAATCTTTCACAAAATGTTTAATTAATTCGTAGTATTAGTCTAACTATAATCTGATACACCATTTACAGGTGGATTGGAGCAGTACTCTTGCTCTTTTATCTATCTTGTGTATAAAATACGAAAATACTACAAATATGTTATATGGTAAGACCAATTGATTGAGAATTCGCAATATCTAATCAATATTATGTTGCCCGTATTGTTAGCATTTAAATTATTCAATTATAGGTTTGATTGATACCATGTTTGAAGATGCACTCAGAAACTGTTATCATGATCTCATCCTAACTGTAATCATACTTGTTCGTCAGTGCAGTTTATTAAAACTGCCAAAGTTTTATCCATATACCGAATGGATTCAAGTAAAGTATCATAATTAAAATATGAAGTTACGGTTATTTGTCACTTGAAATTAATTTATTTCAGTGATGTTATTGCGAACAACGTGATCAAACTTTATCATTTTAATTATTAATAGTCACATATAGGGCGTCAATCATCATTAATAAGCAAGCTGTCTGCAAGATCTTGCAAATTTCTAATCAGATTTCTCATGTCTATTTTACCATATGATGACGGCCTGCATATCAAGGTTTTATTTATATTATATCTATAATATAGAGGCTATTGCGGTGTTACTTAGTTGCTGTATATTTTGCAATTGGAATAATACACTACATGTTTTTAACTTGCCTTTGATTAGGCTCATATTATTGGTCAGCCTTCTGTACCAGCGAATTGCCAAGACTTACTAGTTGAATATATAGCTTTAGCGAAGGCTAATTTAGCAAAATTAAAAGTAAGGACGATGTCGCTACATCTTATAGTGATGGCTAGATTTTTATTTTAATCATGTGATCAGAAAAATTTTGAATATTTAAGTTTTTTTCTTGAATTGATAGGAACAAGATTTAACAAACGAAAAAGAGCAAGCAACAAACTTACTTGATGAAGTCTTACATGATGATGAGGTTGGGCTAAGTAACCTCGTAGAGTTTGTTTCACTTAATGAAAATATGATTTGCTAGCCGCCTGTTGTTCCAATTCTGGATGCGCTTTGTAGAACACTAATAGAAATTCACTTTGCATTCGTCTTTTTATTATGTAGATTTTTGAAGACGTAAAGAAAGCCGTAATGACTTTTAAGCGAACAAATGAAATTCCCAGTTGCATTTTGGAAGCTAGGTGAGCACAACTACTTATAAAAACTTTTTCAGTTTTATTATTCTGTGATAGTTATATTGAAAGCGATAGAGTGCTACTGTAGCTACAGTATTTGTACCGGATAAAAAATAGACGTACTTTCCGTCAGCGTAAACTCGAACTCAGCTTGATGGTAATTAGTAATTAGAAGGTAGATCTTATCTTCTTGTGTATATTTCTATCTCACAGCATTTTCCAAAAGTCCTACTTTTGCAATCAATTTCTGCCTGCTCTGTTAGTGTATGAAGAGGTAGCAGTATTTTCAAGTTGGCTTCCATTATTGATATAATGCTTCTTAAATTATTTGATGTATCTCTTTCTGCTACTTGTTACTATATTTGATGTCTGTAAATTTACTCCTACGGTGCTATAGACGTCTCGTGATTCTATTGAAACGATTGGTTTAATTGAAATTCTGAAGCGGTAAAAATCGATTAGTGATTTTCTTTTTATAGTATTATAGAAAATCTCGCTAGTGCTATAAATAGCCCTTTAAAAAATTGTTAGGTTAGTAAAATTATCAATTGATTGTTTTAATTTAACCAGTACTCTTAACACTTAGTGGTAATAAGATTCCGGCAACTCTATGGAATGCTTTTGAAGAGAGACGTAATAAGCCCACTAAACTGCCAGGTAGGCTCGATTTATTAGCAAAATATAGTAATAGTACATTCAAATCGAAGTTTCGTGCTTGAGTAATTCTATTTTGATACCCTTTTATATCTCTTAATTATATTTTTTGTGGTTTAAATAATTCACTTACCTTTGCAGATCATGGAAACTCTCAAAGCCATGTTCTGGCTCGATTATGGAAGTGCGTTTCCGAAATTCGGGAGCTTAGCCAAAGATCTCAAGCTAATGAGCGGCCGGACTGCAAATTTTTACTTGATGAAATTAGTAAGATCTTTAACGAAATTTTGCCACTATTATCAACAAAGAATGATAATAAGAATGAGTTATCACCGGCTAATAAATTGAATGAAGGAGAATTGGCAATCGTGAAGGAGGTAATGGATAAATAGCTTTACCGTAATTGATATTATGACATTAATATTTAGGATTTATCGGAATGTATAGGTAAATGAAGAACTCTGATTCTGTAAATATTCTGCTATTATCCTATTTATTTTACTTTTATTTAGTTTCACAAATCTCTCTTGGCACTTTACTGCAAAGTCTTTCAATTATTAACATCAAATAAAGATACCGATTTTATGGGCAATTGTAAAGATTGGTACATGGGATTCGTAAATGTTTTACATTCTTTCCCTTACATTCTAGCTTATGTTGTTTCTGAAACTGTGGCATATCTTTCATTCAAGGTAAATACTAATTTCTGAATAAATCTTTAATTTGCTTAATTTGCTTGCTATTGTTACTTCTTGGTAGCATCTTAGTTGATTTCTTGTTTTCTAAATGAAATTAATTTAGGACCATAATAGTAGTGATTGCAGTCCGAATGGAATAGCGAGTCTGTTGCTTGGTTTTTTGACGAGTAAGCAACAATGGAGATGGTTCTTAATAAGCGATAGCGCTAGGTTATGTCATGTAGATATAGTTTATACGAATCCGGCTACGTTTTTGTGGAAAAGTTTTAACTACAAGACCAAAAACTCAATGCCATTGGCTTTACGGTTAATATACTCGTATATTGTTTAGCTGATAGTTTGCTTTTGCTATAAACTTTCTGCAATAATTGCAGGTTTTGTACAAATGGCCTCGTCTTAGTTTCCGATTACCGAAAACTAATTATCGATCATGGTAATTTACCTTAAATCTTAAAATACTGTGATAACATAGGTATAAAATAATATTGAATAATTCTAAACTATCTATATTATTTAGAGTGTCGTGCAATTTTGCGTTCTCAATTAAAATTGGTATGTACGTAAAATGCATGTATATTCGTATGCGTCCTTGAGATCATTAATGTAATTAAAAATAATGAATTTATACGTGTTACATACTGTAGGCTCTTTACCTATCGATACGGTTAGAGAGTATCCTTTCCTTGGGTATGGGAAATGAAGATATGAAAGCAGGTTATCATTATTCAATCTTAAAAATATAAACCAGGCGCTGTTAAAATGATAGGGAAGTGAGATCATTATTTTTAATTTTAATTTAGACTTGGGCTCATTTACTGCCTTTCTAAACTCAGAACAAGGAAAAATCATTTTAGAAGAGGAAAAAAACGTATATGAATTATCTGAATAAAAATTATACAATCGACGCTTTTATCATTCTATAGAAGATTGCTATATGTATTACTTGTACATTATCTTTAATGATTGATAGAGTAAGCAATAAAGAGATAGCACTAAAATTGTTAATCGAACGCAGCTTTACTATATTCCGGTAATACGTAATCACTTTGCCAGCAATTTTTTTGTAATTTTATCATTTTTCTGCTTATACCTTACTAGTTAGTACTATCGGAATGGATCAATTATGAATTAAATATCTGTCAAGATCATGATTTCTTTCGTAACGAAGCTGAAAGGTGAGTTTTAGACACTATGCTTTCGAAACTCCTATTTCCACTACTCTATGCTTAGCAAGTGTTTGATGTCTTACGAAATCGATTTTTCAGGCTAACATATTGGAACTGGATCTTTCGTAAACATTTCCTCACTAGTAGTATCGTTAGTGGAGGTTGTGGCGGCCAATATCGCTACGTTTGCGAGATGTTAATCAAGTCTATCAAAGATTATATGGAGTGGTTTGTATAGTTAGAAATATTTAATACCTAGTATACGAAACAGCCAAAAATAGAAAAGTTTTAGTAGTGATAGGTTTTATCAATGAAGCTTAATCGTAAACATGGTATCTTTCTGTATGTGTTATATAGGCATGATAATCAAAATATTGATCCAGCTTTAGCTTTTATGCAGGTTATGACTTCTTTCAACGCCTCTTTGCACAATTTTATCGTGACATTAATGCAAAGTGACTTATTTCAACAGTGTATTCTTGCGGAGGCTAACCAGCAGCAAGGCAGTAATACCAAGGACGATATTATTCTGTTAAATATCTTGAAAGACAGACGAAACATTATGATGCTTACCCAGCGAGAGACGCATATGTTACGGTTGGGTGGGATGAATGACATCCAGATTGAATTAGATTGCATAATCAAGTATGTACCGTTTAATTTAAAAATTTGAAGTACAATAAGCACTGTTCGTTTCTGTCGCTACTTGTGCACTTAACTCTGAAAGTAATACTTAATATAACGTTCTACTAATTTACTACCGATAAAAGAATGAATAAATAGGGTAGCGTACCTTCATTTTTTTCAGTTGTATTTGCTGTATCATTGTAATATTCGCATTAATAATTATAATAATTTATAATCCTGAAGGATTTATGCCTTCTGTTGTCATCACAGCACTTTGAGAGTATATTCACGGACTTTTGGCTTATTTACTTGGTCACGCTAATATCAAATGTGTTCTTTTTTAGAATATTTGCTCGTATTTCTCCAAATGTTATTTTATCTATAACTACTGGCAAAGAGCAGACACTTGATTCGAAGATGGAAACTTTCAAGAATTTTATAAACGATATCTTGGTTGGCAATATAGAATCTTATTTTTGCAAGATGTTACATTTTACGTTGTTGATCTAATATCAATTTCTACTATTTTAGTAATATTTGTATCTTATTTTAAATATCGTTTAGGTTGAATATCAAATAACAGGATTTAGCTTTAGTATGGAGCTATGCTCTGCTCTACTAAAAGTATTGATTAATTGGAAATCGAGATTCTGATCGATACTCTATAATCAAAATTTAATAATTCAATAGTTGTTCTAGCGGTTAAAAACATAGAGTATAACATGACATAATTTATTTTATGGTCACCTTATTGTAAACACAGATAATAGCCCATTATGGTGATGACCTAGCCAGGTATCTTATATCAACTTCACCAATATTAATCGGATCGCTCTTGGTATGCGTCGATGCTACGATATCTCTATTTGATTGTAGCTATCAACCGTTGTATTTTGATCGCTTTATTTACTTAACAATACAAGAATTGATATTAATATTGTCGTATTTATTTAATCTGCATTTATTATAATCGGTAAAGGATCATTGGGAAAAATTGAATATAATATCTGGGTTTTTTGGTAATGCACTTAGCGATTATATTAACGAATTCAATACCTTACAGGCTTGGAGTTATCGGTAAGTATTGTTAGCATATCAAGGTACTGATCTTCTATTATACTTGGAAGTCATGGAGTAATAAAGTGAATTGTTTTGTTATTCCCTATAAATGGAATTATTAGGGCGGTAATTGACCATGATTTCGGAGCTGATATTCCTGATCGCCCTTCTTGGCAATTAGCAATTATGATTTTCAAACAAATTATTGATAAGAGGTTAAATGTCCTTGATTTGCTGATTGCTAGCTTGCAATAGAAGTTATACTTCCTGTACTGAAATTCGCAAATTTTTGCTTCCGCTCTTTAGCTCATACGATCAAAATATTTCATATTGGTAAGGATGAAAAATATGCTATGCGGATAGTATAATGAGCATGTCCGGGTCTGCAATGTATTTTTTGTAATTTAAAATTCATTCATGTGTAAATATCATAGGATTGTTGAATTTTTAAATTACTTGAAAAACTATCAAGCAAGCATAACTTTGATTGAAGAGGTCAGATTTTATGTTCATATCATATTTACAAAAACTGTTTAGCAGTATCACTGCATAGCTAAATTTTTCTCAATGATAGAGGGAGAGTGATACTATTGTTATTTACTTTGTTCAATAGATGGAATGGTGCTTGTTGGATTGTATCATAAGCTATCTCTGTTGGTCACTCTCAAAATTAGCCGTGAGTCTATCTTATTTACTGCATATCCATAGTACTTAATTGAGAGACTTTATTCTTTTAGGTTAGTGATATGATCGAATTACATCGTAGTACTATTAACGTGGCAAAGGTAATAAAAAACTACACTTGTTAAGTTTTAGTATTTTAAATGTGATACAATCGAAACATGCATAGTTTACATCTATGTTAATGTTTGCTTAATTTATATAGGCAATTGTAGCCTCTAATTCTAGGAGTCTTTTAGGTCTAGTTAATGGTAAATAACAAAGTAGCTTATAATTTAATAATTTGATATGAAATAGGTCCTTAACTAAATTATTTCTTTCCAAAGATATAAAATTCTGTCCAATAGCAGGAAGAGAATATTTCAGGGTTGTAAATTTACTAAGGTAATTAAGATATGTAAAGAACTTGGATTATTCTTACACTAATAGCATATCTAACATTAAATATAGGGAAGCTCGTAAAAATATGAATTATTCTCGGTTGTATCCAGTGGTTTACTTCAAGTAGGTATTCAGTTTAATGTCATAAGATTAATTTTTTATTCAGTCATGAATTTTCTTCAACATTTATATCTCATAATGAAGTATATTTGGTGATACAATATCTGACGACAAGGATAAGGTAATGTGCTATCTTTGTATTTGATAACTGAAAGCAATGAATATTAAGATGATAGGAATTAATTAAATTATCGCCGATGCGTGAATTTCCAGATTAGAAATATGATCCCGGTCTCACTTTTCATGTTTAATATGGTATCGGAGCTGAGTATAAGTGAAGAAAGCATTGCTGTAAGACATGATGATTGCTGGAATTGCTTTTTTAAGATTTAATTAAAAATAGGCTTAAGGAATAAGCTATTTAGGTAAGGTTTAATTTCTTGCTATGCAGATATGTACAGATCTACATTTTATCAACGAAACCAAGAAATGGTTGAAATCTTTAATAAAGTTATCTTCGTTGGATATGCTTGAAAAATACCACGATGTAAGTCCATCTTGTAAATGAAAATATTACGTATTCAATCTATGATAAGCTTATTTGTTAGGCTATTACAGTGCATAATGTACTATCAACGTTCGAGTATTACTCTAATTGTTATAATGGTTTCAGATGGTTAAGCTCTTACGGGATCAGGAATTGAAAGATTTTATCAATGAATATCGTCTAAGTGTGCAAGAAAGCTCTGCTTTTATGGCTTCATAGATGAAAAATTATAGAAATAGATTGTGAATTTGATACATCCGCTTCATGCACCCTACTAATTACAGAGGAATGGTCCTGTTATTTACAAATAGGACGCATTTCTCACTTGCATAAGGTATACCCGTTTGTTTCGTATATTAATCAATCATATTGATGTGTAATATTGGAGCAACTTCAGCTACAATAGTTACACTTATCGAAATGTACAGTACTTGGATTGTATATATATATACTCGCATGTAAAAGACTCTGTTATTATTATAATATTAATGCTTACTTTTAAATGTATTTATGGAAGGCTTGCTATCAGATTTGAGTAGGAATATCTGAAAATTTCAAACTGTAGTATTATAGTGTACATAAAGTATTCGTTCTATGTTTTGGAATTATCTCACGACTCATGTACTTACTATGGTGTGTAGGCATAAAGTACAATGTTCTAGAAATCAAAATCATTTTATAAGACATAAAATTATACGCAATTTCAGCAATTGCCGGCGAATACCTTTTATAAAAAGACTAGTACCTTTAAAATAATAGGATTCTATATTTACAATATCCTAGATATTTTAAGGTTCAATTTGTTTTCCAATTTTGTTATGAAGTAATATAGTTTTCAAATGTTTTACGACCAGATTAATTTATCAGTCGGATTTTCAATAAAATTACGGTAATAGGGATTTTAACGGCTAGTTTAAAAACAATATCTTAGAATTGCCGAACGTTCTAAGGATTAAGTATTTGAACAACCATCAGTAAGCCAAATCATTTTGATTTATTTGATAAAAAAATAATATAAAAATGTTAAAAGTAATGATCGGCTAATAAGATTGGGCAATCAATAACTGGAACATCATAATCATAATACAAAAGTACATCTTCCGGTTCATCGGGATCGCTATTACCATGAAAACCATAATCATCTAATGTCATTTCTGGTCTCATGCAACCAGTTGCAATTTGATCGCGATAAATTTTAATAGCTAATTGGAGCTCCCCAAGTTGTTCACTGACAATTTGTGTTACGCCATAAATAGGTACATGAGCATGCACGATAGTAGTAAATGCTGTAGGATGGTTATGAGCGAAACTCGCAAATATAGACATTCTTAATTCTAACCGAATGTACCTAAAAATGTTAAATACGAATAATGAGACCAATTTAAATATTTGATGCAAGTACTATAGCTAATAAGGATATAGGTATATAACATATACACGTATACATTCAATGTGAATTGGCTTCTTCTGTGTTGAACTCTACTCTGAACTAAGCTAAAATTAATGTAACATGTTTCAGATTGATATTACGTATGTATACATAATTTGGTGTTATCTGTGATTTTACGAAGTTTAAAGATTTAATATCATGGCTAACTGAGATACTATTTCCGAAAACATATACGTAACATTAAATATTATTATATAGGGAATAATACATGGTAGCTTTTCATCACATTCAGATTACAATCATAATCTATTTCATTTCATAGGAGAAATTTTTAAAATTATGCTATCATCTCAATTTTGGTAATATTTTAAAATCATTTTACCGTAACATAGCGATACCATAGACTTATCTCTTTATGACTAACCTAATATCTTTCTCTTCAATTGGTGACCATAACCGCAAATGGCAATGAGGACACTGGTGACCTCTTTCTCTTTTAATTCGTAACACTGGTAAACCGTCATCTCTATTCTTTTCTTCACGTCTGATACGTATGAGTATAACCGATTTAAGATTAAAATAGAGGAAAGATAATGAATTATTCCTTTACATAGTTTGTAGCAATTCTAGGAAATATGAATTTATGCTGCAGTAAATTAAGAAACTAACCTATAGCGTAATCCATTTGCAAATTCTAAATAATCTATACTACCACTGTTATCACGATCGATTTCACGTGCTAAAACCATTAATTCTGCTAATGTGGCGGGTGCATCTAAGTCTCGCATTCCACATGTAAATTCTTCTATTGATAATGCTCCATCGCCATTAATATCAAATCTGATTTATTTGAAACAGAAAAATAACGAGTAAATTGCAGTAATACTGGCGCAGAAGGTCATTAATCTATATTTCCATATTTAAAAAGAACCTAAATTGAGATATATTATTAAAAGAAAAAAATTTCTTTTATCTAAAAGATTTAATGTTCTTATACCTTCTAAATAAATCGATAGCTCGCCCATAATTGTCCAGCATCCATTGTGTCATACGTTTAATAAAATCATTATACAAAGCTTCAGATGAAGCTATTCGATCTGCTTCTAATTTTATTTTTTCCTACGATATTTACAATACTATTACTATCACGCAACTTTTGCTTTATTTTTATTACAATTTCCCTTACATAATAGTGTTCTAGTAATCTCAACGTCAATTCTGTTTACTTATAGATTATATTAGCTTACCTTCGCTGCATTTTTCTTTTTCTTCTTTTTCGGTTTTCTATAAATTACATTTTTATAGAAAAATATTATGGACTAATGGTTAAATTTTTTAATTTTATCAGTATTCATTTACTAATTTATATCGTTACTTCGTATTGGATAGCAATAACTATTAACTAAAAATAAATTAAATTATTCATTGAAACGTTATTGTTTTGTATCAATATTCCATTTTAGTGCATACATAGTAATATATCGATATCGTTTACTAAACAATCGTAGCAGGTTATGAGATATGATTACTGAATTAGAGCAGGAACATAAAGCATTCAATTAAAGTTTGAGTATCGTAATTTTAATTAATTAAAAACATTTTATTAACCTAAAATCATTATGACTTGTATTTGATAGCAACTTATCTAGAATATCTCCGTGATTTCGATATAGTACTGCAAGAGTAAATTCTAAATTTACCCCGCGTTAAATAAGTAAAAAATATAGTTTACTGTATTGTTTATAACCGAATAAACGATTTTAATTGCTTTATTGACACAATTTAAAAAAAAGATGTTACATCAATTTGACGTATCATGACTTGTTTGATATCTAAATATCTGGAATGCCCATTTCATTTGATATAGTACCAGTATACTGTATAGCAGCCGTTGAAACTTTCGGAATTAGTGTTTACTCGACGGCCAATATGTTAAAATCAATGAGTGTATCTTCAACAACTAGATAAGTGATCCTCATGTACGGTATTGATCTAATTTGAAGCAGCAGATGCGATTCTAGAGCGACGATACTTACTTTGGCGGTTTAGGTATAGACGACATCTCCAATCTTAATAAATACAGTAGATTTGATATCAGGTGTTTCTTCTTTAGCTTAGCAATAACGATTTCCTTTTACAAGAATTCTTCTATTTACTTTTGAAACATTTTCTTTATATTTGGCTATGGTAAATCTATTTCCAAATTGAAATTAGTTGTTAATGTTACATCAAAAATGCTATCAATTTGTTTCCGTCTCCTGCTAGTTATAATAGCAATATAGATTACTGAATGATGAAGACGTTAAGCATAGTATAATTTATATAACAATAAAAAGTTACATACTCGTGTCTTACCAATTCAATGAATTCATCCTCTCGTAACTCCTGTTATTACTTTAATTTATTGATTTTTTAGTGTCGTCCGCGAACAATGATTATACTAGCAAGAATATCGATTTAAGCTTAGCAAGCTATCGCTAGTCATAAGTACCTATAATGAAAGATGAGCTAATCGTTACTGTAAAGTGAAATTTTAAGTTAATATTTAGCTTAGTTAGCAGAGGCTACCCATAGACGTGGCAGTAACTGAAATAAAAAGTATCGAAACTGCTTCACTGGTTGTCATAGTAACTTCGAAGGCGGCTGATCCGTATTATGCCTGACCTGTTATGACGGTACGATTGCAACGTAGTTGACCTTAACAATGATACACGCCCTGTAAATACAAGTGCGATGAAACGCTATACAGCCGATATACGCGGGTTTATGGTTAGTTCAGCTACTCAATTTAGACTCCTAATTGAGTCTTGCAGTATGCAGTTTAATGGTGGTGTCTACAGGAAGTCGGGAGTGGGAGTAGCAGAAGAGCGTAGAGAACATAGTAAATACATTTCAAAAATTGCATGCGGCATGCCGGTATAAATAGCGTAACATCTATTGGAAATAAAGATGTCCACTAGAGCTTCTCAATCAATATTCTTGATATTTAGTTAAAATATTGTAAGAAAAAGTCATTCAATAGTGAATGAATAACTATCCGATGTAGCGTTTTTCCATATGATGAAATAGTATTTATTAGTGAGTAATGGCGACAAATTATTTTGATCGCTTTTAATATCATTGATATGCATATAGAAATAATTTTCAAATCATTCGATTCTAATTATAATAAATGCTTATAACATAGCTTGTACATTAAAATTTGCTATACTAATAACGCTTCAGCACGTGCAAGTAAATGATTTTACACAGTTATTTATTCAATAGCTACAATTCTCTATAATTGGCTTACTGCATTGAAATAATAGTTAATACGAGCATACATACAGTACATCAATATTTTTGGGTATAAAATAGAGCTTGCCAACTGAAGGTTCCATTATACAATAAGCATAAATCCTGTACAAGCGGTAATCAACTACGAGTATTAACATGGATATCCAACTATGATTGTTATATAGTACAAAATAGATAAATAATTATTCTGATTGATTGCATATTACCGGTACATCATATGATGATATATCGTTCATTCATAGTCAGAAAAGATTATTTTACAACTTAGGAGTTTGTATCATTACGATTTTTCAATTTTAGCATTTTGTTGAAAAATGCAAAGAAAACAATTTCTCTTATATGACTCTGTCGCCAAACTCTGTTCGTATGATCTTTTTACCAAATCTTGCAGAATCGACTAATTCGTCAGGAATTTCCTGCATCCATTATTAGAAAATTAGCAAAATCCGTTTATGTAAAAATAAAACTAATCGTCGTTGAGGATAGCTACGCTATTAAATATATAAGAATCTAACCTGTTTCGCTGCGACTAGAACATCTTTCAGATCTTCGACAACTTTACAATCAAGTGTTACAAATGCGGTTGCTTGCCCATACCTATTGAAACGAGCAGTCCTACCTACATTTTATTGCAATATGTTGTTACATTTAAAAATCTCTTATCTAAATTCAGCACAAAAATATTTTATACCGCATCTATGAATATAGTCTTCAATTGTTTCGGGCATATCATAGCTTATGACATGGCTAACTTCTGGGATATCTAAACCACGTGATGCTAAATCAGTGGCTACCAGTACATCGACGCCACCTATGGTTTTATATTATTACACTCAAAACATAATGTTGTAAAATATAAATGGCACTTTTTAATTGTATTGCCTACCACTTTTTAGTGCAGTCATGACTCGAAATCTGTAGGCTTGTGTTTTTTCAGAGTGCAGACTAGCCACATGGAATTGCTCTTTCTTCAATGCAAGAGTTACCTAGCATAAAGATGAATTTTAATACTGGAAGTTTAATTCGATTTCCAGAAACTGTGCAGTTGGCCTAATTTACCTCATCTACGGTATCGATTGTGTTGGCAAATACGATGACGGGCGGACATGTTGTATGACGTAAGACTTTAAGTAGTCTTATCTGTTAACAATAGTAATGCTATTTAGTAATAACAGTTAAGGTAGTAATCTATCCACAATAATAATCTTACTGGCTTCTCGGCATAGTTAATAACTTGTACATTATGATGAATTTTGCGGTTTGTTATACCGGTAACACCAACAGTAATGGTAATCTGTAATTTGAAACATAACATATTGATATTATTTGCTTTTACATGGCTACTCTCATTACTACTGTCAATGCTATATGTCCAATTGAAAATACGAGATCAAAGTGTTACCGCGTTTAAGACAGCAGATCTTGCCAATCTGTCTAATGCAGTAGGCATGGTTGCTGACCACAAAAGTGTTTGTCGCGCTAACAATGTTTGAGTAGCGACTCCTACAATCTGATTGCAAGCAATATGTTAACAATTTTCCTTTTTCATTAGTCAATGCCCACCGACAATAGTATGTTTTAAGATACCTTTCGGAGCTGCTCTTCCATGCCCATACCAAGCATACGATCCGCTTCATCCAGAACTAAATAAATAATTCTAATTTCATAGCCCAATTGGAAGCAAATAATATCAAAATAAGAGCTATGAAACCGATCATACAAAAACTGTATGGTAATTGCATTTTGAAAGTTATGCTTAATTGTTTACATAATTAATACCGAGTAAGGTTAATCTTTCCTTTATCAATCAAATCGATTAGCCGACCAGGAGTAGCAATAACAACATCAACACCAGCATTGAGCTGTTGTATTTGTTGACTGATTGGCATGCCACCACATACCATAGTAGCCCGATAAGTAGGAGCTATAAGTATGTCAATGTAAACATTATTATTTATCCTGCTGCAAGGTTTCTGAATAGTCACTCAAAGCATGTACTAGACGTCGTCTGATTGCTGCAAATGTTACCTTGCATTGGGTGTGAGGGATCAGGCAAGGAAGAAGGCACCTTAGTATCATCAATATTCATGTATTTTAGTATTTCAGTTAGAGTTTCATAACTCTACAATAAGGAAAGAGCAAAGATAATAGAGGTTATATTCAAGTCAGCTGCATATGAGATTTAAATTTATACGAATGTTGAAGTTATGGCAAAGTCGTACTTGTTGTACAAGCTCTCTCGTGGGAACCAATATCAAAGCCATAGGAATGTTTCTTGTAGTTGCTTATAATAATGTATAAAGCGATAATTATAATCATTAGTAAGTTATAATATCCATCAAATGCTCAGCTAAGATTATTATCTGCGTTGACTTATGTATTTTAGCTATTACAAGCTAAATTATTTCTAACCTATCGATCGATGACGTCTAGATAACAAGAGATGGCAAAGCGGTAGTATATAGCATAAGCTTTTACCAGATCCCTAAAATTCAACCAATATTTTTGAGTGCAATAAGTAAATTGCGTGCATGCAGTATGTTCAATTTGTTTATCTTATATTTATGAGTCTATTTAAATTAAGAATACTACGACTGAACAAAAATCATTTCCGGCTACCAATACATACTGTTTCAGCAATTCCAATTATATCTCGACCAGACATCACACATGGTAGGGCTTGCATTTGTATCGATGATGGATGCTTTCAGTAAAAAATACAAAACACAGATAATAAAGTAAAAGCTAAGGATAGAATTATGTCTACAGCATTATTTACGATATCGTGAAGCAATATATGAGTATGTATCATAATTATACCGTATTAAACTATGAAAGATATTACTGTTTATGAAATTACAATGAAAACGTACAAAAGTATTTATTTATTTTATCTGTGGCTAATTTTGTGATGGATATACATACCTTGTAATCTTTATTTTGCAGGTAAACTTGGAGCTGGGAGGGAAGATTGAGCTGTGCAAAGTCAGAGATTGGAGCAGGGCAACTTTCTCCATCAACCTACAATGCGTATAATTTAGTTATTTCAGCAAATTAAAATCTACAGTTACTTTGCCAGTACCGAGGTAGGTCAACATGAACAAAATTGTTTACAGTGAAAGTTTTAGCGCTGTCCTATTTATCGAATTGCATTTATATCATGATATGTATACGAGTCAATATGGATATAGAACTTCTTAGTATGCTTCATAGAATAATCATTACAGCCATAAAATTGATACTTTATACAACAATCTTATCTTGAAGGTAGAAGAAATATACGAATAAAATGGATGATTACACAGAATGTATTTCAAATCTAGAAATGCTTATCCTGATTGATTGATTGTAGTAGAAACTTACAGTGATTCCTGCATTCCATCTCAACTGGTCAATCTGAATGAAAGTTTATCGAAAAAATTACGTAAATGAAGATGTACTGCTCATAATCTAATCTATTGGTTAGCTGTAAATCAAGTATACAATTGAAGATGCAAGAGGCAAGATGAAAACATTATTTAATTACGGAATGACTACTGGCAGATGTAGGATTTCCGATTTGCAGACGCTAGCAGTACAACTGGTGACGCACCTGTGCATCGTTTAGCTTATTGTTGGCATCCGGTATTTTATAATAGGACTGGACAAAATTATCTTCTTTACCACTTTCTTTACGCCTGAATTTTTTCCTCAAGGGTACCAATTCATCATCTTGCGTTTGGTCCATGATCGTCTTCTAGAACAGCAATTTATAGGAATTTTTTTTTTTGGGGGGGGGGGGTGTTTAAACAACGTTGGCTTGTATCTGACCTGTAACTATTTACTTCTTGTGCTGCTCGTACGTATCAGGAGCAACACCAGTGGAGTACCATGTACTGGTGTTTACCAAAATGTTTCTGCTTTTTATCTATGACAATTGAAAGCGCTACCATGCAATCGATGTATATAGGCACACGTTCATGATATCCATCTGTGGAAATGCATGGATCTACCAACGTAGACGTGAGAGTATCGATGTTGAAAGTGAGGGATGACTGTATTTCTTGCTGGTGTTTATCAACGGTTGAAGTGTAGAATGACTTTATTGATTTGTTCCAGTTATGCTTAGTAAGTTAGTGTAGAATGACTTTCTTGATTTGTTTCAGTTATGCTTAGTAAGTTAGTGTAGAATGACTTTCTTGATTTGTTTCAGTTATGCTTAGAAAGTTAGTGTAGAATGACTTTCTTGATTTGTTTCAGTTATGCTTAGAAAGTTAGTGTAGAATGACTTTCTTGATTTGTTTCAGTTATGCTCAGTAAGTTAGTGTAGAATAACTTTCTTGATTTGTTCCAGTTATGCTTAGTAAGTTAAGTTAGTTACGGACTATTTTAAATTGTGTAGGTATGGATCGAAATGGAGCAAACGATAACATTATATGATCGGCTGGAGTCTGTAGAAGGTCTTCATGTTGTCCCCAAGCAATCCTTGAATGGAATCAATTGATTCATTGACAATGAATCATGCCGTTGTGCAGCTTCCAGCAGGTTGATTGAAGTGGTGAGTTTCTGGCTGCAGTACACTACTACGCCTAGACTGTCTTCCATCCATCCAGTAGTCCATGGCTTGGTTTCTGTTTGTTTGCCTATTGGAAGCCCAGGCCGTCTCTGGCCTACAGTACAAATCAGGTCTACCTACAGTACAATACTGTACAGTACTGTACGTTTTTTGAAGTAACGCACCCTTTGTGAAGACTCTGCCATTTTCCATCCAATCGTTGACCTGCACTGCTCATGCTTGGCTGTTGTACAGTACAGTACAGTACAGTGTACAGTACTGTGCATTTATTTGAGTGTACAGTACTGTACTGTACAGTACAACAGCGACAGCAATTTCCAGAAGCGACCAGATCAGTCTGTAGTCAGTACAGTACAGTACGTACTCTACAGTACTGTACTCTACTAAATATACTGTACAGTACTGTAGAACTGATGTACAGTACAGTACTGTACTGTACACTGTACACTGTACTGTACTGTCAATTCTCTCTTTTCTTCACCTGAACCGGAGCGTCTCCATTCACTCACTCTACTGTACAGTGTACAGTACAGTACAGTACAGTACAGTACAGTACAGTACAGTACGTTGTACATTGTACAATACTATACACTGTACACTGTATACTGTAGCTCAGGCGAAAGACGTGATCTTGCGTACAGTCGATCGACTGCGGTGGATGATTGCATTGGTTGGCTAATAAAAGCTTCTATCTGGACTGTAGAAGCAACACTCCTGACCTGGAACTTATTGCATCAATCTAGTCGTCGTGTCAAAATTCAAATCAATTGAGGAAGAAGAATTGGAAGACAGTAATCATTGGCATCTTTATCGATTACAACAAGTTAAAAAAATCAATACAGCGGTCAAAGAATGAGTAAAACACTAATCAAGGATAGTGTACCCGCCTTTCTTGCCAAGTTATGGAAATTATTGAACGATACAGAAACCGACAACATTATACACTGGAGCAAGGTATAGTATATTGCAATATCATCAGCCAGCCAGCCATGACGAAAATAATGTTCATTTCGCAATGTTGCATTGTCTTTTCAATCATCAATTCACGGATGGAAAGGATAGAAGCTTATGACAGTCCTTTCTTATTCAACCATGTCACGATTGAGAGAGTAGAATTTTGCAGTCCATTAGCTATAGTTTGCCAAACTTGTTTGTACGCTTGTACTTTGCTGCAGCTTCAAGTCGGCTCATCTCATTGCTACATTTTGTTCATAAGATAGGTCAACCAGCTCATGTTGGACACTTTATATCATACCTTACATAGCTAACCGCAAATAAATCACTCCCTTCCAGTCTTGTTACCATTCAAGTTGTAAAAGAGTCATTCTCATTCTATACTTTAATGCCGACAATCTTAAGATTGATTTTTATCAATGTATAGGCGCCTATCTTCATTGGATACTGCAGATAGCATCGCATCTGCTGCCAATGTCATCCGATTGTATGATACACTCCTACTTTGTACCTATAAACTTGAAGCTTAAAACTGTACTTGAATATGGATGGGTAAACAGGAGATCATGGACTGATGCTAACTGTAATAGTACAGAGTTTTTGGATAGACAGATATCGGCTAAAACGTTATTCAAAGTGAACAGCTTGATCAAGCGCATACGCCTATACGTACTTTAGAACGGGCTAGGCAGCAGCTCATGAAGAATTTCAAGATACCTTTTGCCGTGTACTGTACAATTAAACGAGTAAGCTGACTTGATTGTAATAGGAACAATAACAAAGCCACAGTAGTGGAATAATTGAGTTACAAATTCGGCCAGCACCTTTTTAGACGTTGTATTGCTATCATACTATAGAGAACACGGTAACGAAGCTGAGATTACATAAACTCGATCTGTAGTTACCATGTTATTACTCTTCATGTTTTGCTTTGCTAAATTACAATCAGGAGCGCCAAATGTCAATTAGGGGTGTATTTCACAATGCTGCATCCATGTAGAGCTACTGTGCAACAGTCCAAGGCATCAGTTGTACCAAAAGATTCTCAGCAACAAATATTAACGATTTTATTACTGATTTTCCTCAAGTGAGAAAATTTTTGCTATGTGTAGTTTTTGAGATGAAAATCAACGTTAACAATACATCGATTTTCGTAGACTGTACGGTAGTACGACAATAGCCTAATATGAATAAATTTATGATAACTGCTTAATTAAATCGAACGATGGCCATTAGCAAGCCACTAGCCTTATCTTGAACTTTCCTATCCTCTACAACATATCAAATGACTGTATAACCTATGATATTAATGATTGGAAGGAACTACTGTATGAAGTGTACGGATTGAGAAAACAGTCTTAAAGATAGAATAGAATTTAGTTCAACTTAAAAAAAACAAAGCCTAGAAAATCTCCCCCCAAAATTTGAATGTACAGCTATGATGATATAGTATAGGTAATTTTTAATCGCTGTTATTGATGGATGGATGTACGCATATTTTACTTTTAGCTTGTTAACTTGCTTGCTCTCGAATCATGCGGTGTAATTTCATAATTACTAGTGAAATGCGAGATTTCGTATCTCCCTTATTATCACTTTTGTTAAGTGATTAGGTATTTCAATAATATGCTTACTCTATAAACTAATTTTCCTATTTACTATTTACAGTGTCTTCTTAGTACATTAAGATTATCTTTATTTTACGCGAGTATAATCGGTTTCTAATTCAAACTATCGATAAAGAATACTTTTTTTTCATATTGAAAATACGACACAAGTAGATATTTCCAGTACAGTACTATACCCTATTTACTAGAAATTCCGCAGCTAAGTTATGTGAAGGCGTTTGAAATGATAGAAAATTATTATTTGGATCTTATGATCTCATTTTTTATTTCCATAGCTTTTAAATCATATAGTCCAGGATTAAATAGAAATTTAAATTTTCATATATGCGCTGTGCTATTCATACTAATGAACCTTTCTTGTCTACAAATTACTGTACCGCTAAAGGATGGCACCACATTTGTGGTTAAAGATCAAGGCAAATTTTCTGCTGATATATTACCTAAATATTTCAAGCACGGAAACTTTGCTAGTTTCGTTCGACAGCTAAACATGTGTAAGTAGTTATAATGAATAAGACTTCCCATTGTTATGTGATGTTTATATTTGCTATCACGTACGTTTAAGCAGGACAATTATTAACATAAAGGTATATATCCCAGTAAATAAAGTGGTTGAGCAAGTACTTTACTAAGAACCTACACTTATGAACATTTTAAATTATATTTATTTGTTGATATCAAACTTTTATACCAAATTTTTAGTATCAAATCTAGCTATTATTTACAACGATATCATAATAAATTTATATTCTTGCGAATATTTATTTAGATGGTTTCCATAAAGTCTTCAATGCTGAACGTGGCGGTTTAAATGGTCGCGATTACTGGGAATTTAGCAACAATAATTTCCAGCGCGATTATCCTGATAAATTAGATATGGTTAAACGAAAGGTTAGCAAATATAACTGTTCAATTTAAGACTTGGATGATAGGCCAATTACTGTTTTGATAAATGATGCTTGAAATATTTCACACTTCAGTCTCGACAGTATGCGTAGATACGTCATAACGTAGTAGTAAAACTGTGCGATAGCGGCAACAATAAGTTCATTTAGTTAAAATGAATTAGCTAATGATCTCTAGTGTTGACATGTTTTATGAAGGTGGTACTTATATTTCCTTTATAAGGATTAATTTCTTAGGATTACCCGAACTATTTCTTTTAACATTAGGTATCTCAGTCAACGTTAAAACTTGAACAGAATAAAATCAAGCCGGACGATATCACTATTGCTTTAAGCGAAATTAGCGCGGTTAAAAACGAACAGGAAAATATCAATAGTAAATTCGCACAAATGAAAATGTAAATAAAAATGACTTGATCTTCTACATATCGATAAAGCAGAGTAAATTGTAACTTTAAAATAGCTCGATGATACGATATTGAATATCTGGTAACTTTTGGTAAAATGAAACAGGGAAAATGAGTTACTATGGAATGAAATTATTACTTTGAGAAAGAAACATCAAATGCAACAGCAGATTGTCAATAAAGTAATGCTATTTTGTCATAGAAGAGATTCAACATATATCAGAATTTAATTTGTATGATATCTCACTGATACTATTAAAACCTTTACAGTTGGTCCAATTTTTGGCGAGCTGTATGTATAAAAGGAAAGGACTGCCAGTGCATAGAAAACGGTTAGTCAAACTAATAAATTAACACGTTTATGAAACAATTAATACTGAATACTGGATGTGCTCTTTGGCTTAAATTTTACTTTTCAGGCTGATGTTAGAAAATGCTCCTGCATCTACAAAAACAAGAAGGGTAGATTTCGAAGGCAATTATGAAGGCGATAATTCATCCTCTGGATACTACGTAAATTATGTACGCCTGCTAAAAAAGTTTTAGATAACTTGACTGTATGTAATTATAATATCAAACACTTATCGCTTAAACTAACAATTTCTAGCCTAGTGGCTCCGAGAGTAGAGGTCAACCAGAAGATAAAGTTTCCTTAGAAGATTTAAAAAATGGTATAACTTTGCTAAATTCTAAAAGTAAAGTACAATGTTCTTTACGGATGTCCGCGATGTGTCGCAGTTGTATTCCTATCATTTAATCCTATTTAATGTGTAAATTATGGCAATGACTAGGATCGATTATTCTTCGGTCTGGAAATTATCTGGGATAGCTAATAAGTCTTTAATATGTCTATTTGGGATTGCTAGGAGCTATCGTTGTATACCCTCAAGAAGTTGCTGCTGGAATTACAAGTAGTGAAACAGTTCCTGCTGCATATAGTAATATGCATACTGTTGCAGATAATCAGCTATCTTATCCTGTCGTTGAAAATGCTAACACACCGGAGGCCCTGTCATTTATCGATTCTGGTACTTTACCGTAAAGCGTATAGTTACTTATTTCAGTATAAAAATACCTATGGAATATCTTATTCATTTTTTATAGATTTTGACCTAGATACTGCTCTCGCCAATACGAACACTTCTATCGGACCATCCACAGAAAATAGTTACATCCCTGACGTGATTCCATTGGATTTGGAGTCACCCACTACAAATCCTGATACGTTAGTTTTGCTGCTTATCACTATAGTTATTACTAGTTATTATGGTCAATGATAATGGTTAAACCTACTGATTTCTATCACCAGAGTTTATATTGGAGAAAAGGTCGACAATGTTCAGGAAAGCCTCGATCAACTCCATTCATTACTTTCCAATAAAACTGTGGATATTAATAATGTCAGCTCTAATATAGTTACTTTAATTAGATGTATAGTTGTCAATATGTAGACTCTAAAAAGGTTACTACTACTTTCTACCATAGGTGTTTCATCCTAGAAATCCGCTTGATGATACCATACTTACGAATGAGCAAGATAAGGATTTGGAGGTATAGCGACAATGACTGCATTATGTTAACTAATAAATAAAGTCTCCATTCATATGATTAAATGAACGCTACATCGACCAATTTCGATAATGTTGTTATTTATGGAAATAAACTACGATAATTATAAACGCAGTAAGTGTTGTATTAAATGTATGGCACTATATCGTGGGAGAAATTATTAAAATTTTCATTTATTGAATCGATATAGGAATTATTGCGATCCTTTACGAAAGATGCTGAGGATGATGTCGTGGCTGATGGCAACTAACTGGTATGATATATGTTTCAAGATAATTTTGGATCTGTCAATAATCACTAAATCTGACGACGTGCGGATTTTAAGTTGCTTCAAAGATGTGCTTGTAAGTTAATATAAATTACGTGCTACATCGGTGAAAATCACAACAGATGCGACAGATGTATTCAATGCAATCAGAAAAATAGTTAAATTTTAGATAATGTTTATTAAAGTCGCTTTAACGTGAAATGGTATTCAGTACTATAATATACCATATTTGTATTGATATTTTATGTTGTCGTCGATAGGCAGATGATTGCATTGTATCGCATTTAAAAATAATTTAATGACCGTTCTACATCTTAGTTCTTACATGTCAAGGAATGTTGTACTATAATCATCGTTTTATACGATATTACAGATATTAATTGTTATAATTGTATTTTAAATGTTTATCCTACTCTTGTTACGTTCAAATCCCTAGAAGATATATGACTTTCGACTACTGTGTATCTTCTATTTTACGATCAAACGGCAGTAGATTGACGATTTTAAAAATTTGTAAGCCGTGTAAAGTTGCTATAAATATCATACAAGTGCGTAAGCTATCATAATACTTTTTTTAATTTAACGATAAGTTGAATTACTTAGGCTGTAATTGTTATTTCACTATTCTGTATTTATCATAACAATTTTGGCCATTTGTACAGTTCTTTACCGTAACGATTAATTATTATATCATTATAAATAATGAAAGGTCACCATAAATTTTTCCATTTTGTACTGTGCTAATTGTGATAGCATTGGACACTCAATTTAAGTAATGCTAAAGCTCATTGATTCTTACGTCATCTTTCAACTAGATGCATAGTATTAATCAATGCATAAACGAACCTCTGTTAATAATTAGCATTATTCATTTTATTTCACCAATTAAAAATGGTTTGGAGCACTAAAGTGCACTTTGAATGTAATGGTAAGCGCATTAAGAATATATTTATTTAGGATCGATCTGAACTACCGTACGGTACTTTGTCATATATTTATAATGGCGAAGATGATAACTGAGAAAGGTTGTAAACGCCACGAGTAATACTATAGTTGTAAATTGCTAAAATAGAGCACAAGTTTAAAATTCATAACCTATTTTTTACATACTATGCATCATTAAAGAGAATATGCTTATTTGCTATTACAGTAGTACATACAGTACTGCACTTTGACGTATACAGTACAATATATATATATATTGGCGAAGTGCAATGAACGTGGTACTAGCTAGCTGTCCCCGTAGCTGATGATGACAATTATCTAGCAATGGTGTCGAACAGAGTCGCGAGGTTTCTCATTAATTGGGGTGAATCGAGCTTTTGCCTAGTGAGTATGATTTGCGGTAACGCGATTCTCGCAACACTGGTGTCAACTATCAGATTTTTCTTAATCATGATAGTATCAAGTAAATTCCTTATACTATCAAGATTCTATCATGATACTATCAGGATCCTGTCGAGACAGTATACGGTACAAATCATGTAAAAACCATCTTGTGCAATGACTGGTATCACATGCCAAGCTACAGCAGTGATATTAGATGTAATTTAAATTATCATGTACTGTTCAGCCAATGTCTGTACCATATCATATCTATAATTAATCTAACTATCACAGATTCCGCTCCTACTTTGCACAATGAATGCATCGTGGTACGACTGGGAGAAGCACAAAGTATCACATAGCCACTTGTGCTTAATTGAATAACCTGACTGCAACTGTCCCATGTACCAAATTAATAGAGTATGTACGCTTATACAGTGTACATACTCTATTACTTTGGTCAGTGTAATGAAGTAGCCTTCACATAGAAAGTTATGCCATCACTCATAAGAATCGTATTGTAATGCTAGCTAAGATTACTATAGGTTATAAGATTTATTTTATACAAATCTGATAGATAAGATTTAGCATAACGAATTATAGAATTTGTTTGTGTTATTGCTATGATCAACTAACGATGAATATTATATAAGCGAAAGAGATTTAACTCTCGTTAGATTCTCTCGTACTCTCCTGTCGTCTAGACAACTTAGTAAAACTAGTCGACTTTGAGACTAATACTAGTACTATAATGGAATTGGTAAAAAGGTTATCTAAGCTCAAGTTATTGCGTTAATACTTGTGTAAATATGACTAGCAAAAAGGAGACGGACTTCCCTTTATTACAGTCAGTGCTTTCAAGCGTTCGTTAATTCTATCATCGCACAGCTTACACAAGGACTACTAGAAGAAGACCTAGTACAGCAATTGGGTTTTCTTGTAATAGTCCATAACTTGGTAGCTAAAAGGTGCCTATCCAAGGTACTCCATTATGGGCTACCAGATACGTGATTAATACAACATGCAAAATGAGTTGTCATCCCCTACACCTGAAAACCTTCAAGAAGACAGGCTTAGGAAAATGAACTTTTGGCGAAAAGGGGCGACATTTCATTTTACACGGTCTTTCAAAACGTGTATCTCCATACTGTGCTCTGGCGCTGTACAGTACATACTGTAACTAGAATACTGTATACTGTAGTAGAAGTACTCTACAGTAGCGTATTGTCGATACCGTGTCGTACCTACTGTCTCCTGTGGGGTAGTCTGTAGCCTGTTTCTGCCATACTGTAATTATACAGTATAGTAGAAGTACTCTACTGTACAGTACTATAGCGTATTGTCGATACCGTGTCGTTCCTACTGTCTCCTGTGATTATACAGTATGAAGTACTCTACTGTATTGCTGTACTGTACTCAGTGTACTGCACTGTCCTCCTTTGGGGTACAGTACAGTACTGTACTGTACTGTACAGTGTACTGTACAGTAGTCTGTAGCCTGTTTCTACCATACAGTACTGTACTGTAATTATACAGTATGAAGTACTCTACTGTAGCGTATTGTCGATACTATACCGTGTCGTACTGTACTGTAAGTACTGTTTCCTGTGGCATAGTCTGTAGCCTGACACCAAGTAGGCTGTCACCAGCTCATCACAAACGTCCTGAAAACGAACCTCACAAGATCGACACCTCCGTCAAGTGCACCTGCACTTTGGTGAACTGACCTCTTGAGAAATTGACTACACCAAGGAGAAACATGGCTGGTTTTAGATATTTTCTTACTGATGGCACTAGAACTGTTAAATATTATTATTATAGATATGGTAGGAAATTATTAAGATTGAATTATATCAGGCAGGCTGGAGAAAGCGTGTTAAGGGAAAAGGCTGCTGCAGTGGATCCTACTGCGATCGTTTCAACAGATGTTAAAAAATTAATTGATAGAATGATCAAAACAATGAGAAGCCATGGCGACCTAGGAATTGCTGCTCCTCAGCTTGGCCGACCTTTAAGGATAATTACTTTGGAAATAACGAAACGCCATTTAAGTTACTTACAAGCACAGTACCGTAATGTAGTTCAACGTGACACGGTTCCTTTACAAGTATTAATTAATCCCCAGCTAAAAGTTTTGGATAATCACAAAGTTGCAGAATATGAGAGTTGTTCCAGCATTCACAATTGTATGGCAAAAGTGCCACGTTATACTACTGTTGAAGTAAGCGCTTTAGATCGCCATGGAAATCGAATAAATTATATAGCTGATGGTTGGCTATCTAGAATACTACAACATGAAGTCGATCATTTAGATGGATTATTATATGTTGATAAGATGCTAAGTAAAACATTTGCTAAAGTATGAGACTATACAGCATAGAAATGATAATCCATTCTTGTACCATTTTTCATATTGGATTTTTCTGTCATCGAACTCAAGCCTATTCATACAGCTCGCTGATGTAAAATGACCATTTGTAGCATTTATTTCTTCAATAAAACGAAATTGAGTTAACTTGTCCTGCTGTCTGGTAGAACGGCTAAATGAATTGTTGAATGAATAACAAATTCCAATGGCTAGCTACACTACTCAGCCTCGATGCAAGTACGTGCATTAAAGCAACCTGGCAACTATGATAAGGTGTCTTCTCAAAAATAGAACAAGAACTGTAGTTTCTTGTAAACTTCACTTAATTACGTAAATTAGGTTCGTCTGACAACCATCAAGGACTATCTGGCTATAATCAATCAGACTATCTGAATTATTATAGTAAAATTCACCATTAATATACAATTAGTTACTGAGTGATTTTTTCCTCATCACAATCATACCTTTGACAATTAACATTGCCAACAGCTACCAAAGGCTGTTGAGTACAACATTGTTTATTGCACTGTATTATTATTCGTCTGGTGTTCCCAGTTTAACTATTCTCGTACAATCTTAATCTTAGCTATATTTTGCGACTGCACCACAACAAGGCAATAGCGCATTGAGATCCCTGGAGAAAGCTGACTGATAGTTGTTCCCAATATGTCTCTCTATCTGGTCCATGCATAATTTAATTAATAGACTACCTGAAAGCGTATACTAACAGTAGTTTCATCAACATTTCCATGCCTTCTATAGCATATTGCCAAATTAGACTTAATAGGCTTCAATGAATCCAATAGAACAATATAAAGTAAAGTATCAAAGATTTTTATGTTAAATCTTAGCTTAATAATCGATATAAAGGCTAACGATTGCTACGTACAGTATAGCGTATCAATAATTTGACTGGATGTAATAAAATCCAAAGAAAACGTCGGTGGATAGTAATAGTTTTATTACAATTTATTGAGAGTCTAATGTTAAAGGAGGATAACAACCAACTATTTACAGAAAGACCTCGCGTTATATATACAACTGGCAAAATATCATCTGACATTTATAAGTTAACATAGCTTCCTAATTAATACAGCAGGAGCTTCTATTAACACCATCGTGCTTTATATTATCATCTATCTTTCCAAATACGATATCGATAACAACTAATTGCATTGTTCATATACTTTTAGTCGACAACACTACTATAATCATGATAGATATCTCTATTACTATAGGATCTCCTATACTAATGTCAACAGCTATTGAAGTTAGTTAATCTCGGTAACATTGCACTAGGTTAAGAGGATCTACCTACTGTTAAAAAATTTGCCTTTCATTAGCAATTACCGTAGCTCCGTCAAACATAAACATCATTGCAATGTTGATTTTCAAATGTAGCTATCAGGGTGATTTATCTTCTAATGGTTTCGTGCAATAGTAATCGAGACCTAAATTGGCTTCACGGACGGCACAAGGACTTGATATTCTGGCAGCCGGGAAAAACCTTGCTTCTCATAATTTCTAAGTGCCCTTTGAAATTAAATTAGGAGATTATCAGATTGCTCGCAATTGTGAATTGAATATCTTTCGATTCTAGATCGAGGTTAAGATATTAATATTTAATTTAATATTTTAATAATTTAATAAGATCGCCTCGACTCGAAAACGGCCAATTGAACATAAGTTGGGAATACTAAAGTAAAGAGTATAGAGTGTCAATTTAGAAGTCTTGACGGACTATTCTATCTTTTAAAAGTTATTTCTTAGGTATCCATCCCCACGCTAATATTGTAATTATTCATGACATCCTAAGCTATCCAAAGTCGACGCGATAGAGGGTCTCAAAAATAATGTAAAAAGACTTTGATTTCTTGTTAAACTTCACTTTCTTAAATGCTCGATGACCAAGAGCTATCTAGATCTACATTGATTACTGAAAAAGATAATTCTGTAATCAAATCTACAAGTATGCCCTATTTAGGATCTGCACAACAAATATCTAAACTAGCAGAAGAGTATTGATCAAAATTTGTCCGAAAATTGAAGATTTTAATCTTAATATCTTCAATTCCATAGTGTGATGTAAATATTACAAACAGTCCAGTAATAGTTTTGTCGCTATTTGCAAACGGGATATTGCAAATGGCATAGGAGAAAAGGAAAACTTTCTTCTTGAGTATATCGCATCTTAAATGAACCTGTAATCAAATATATATTCATTTTTCCTATTAATAACAGTACTAACTTACATCTTAAACCTCTAACAAGGAACGTAAGAGTATCACAAGAAGGGTACAGACTAGTGATTATTATATTAAATTATGAGGATAACTTGTTTTTAGTATTTAAAAGAGGAGGTATTGCACGAGAAGTCATATTTACTCATTGAAAAGATTAACATTTTCTAGCTCAACGTTACCCTTAAGAATAAGTAGAATAGCTTATAGATATATTTATTAGCTACTATATCTCTTACTTTGTGAAATTCTTAGTCATTTCAATACATGAAGAATCTCTAAATGGATAATCTGGCTAAATGATTTTTTGATGCAGTTAGTAAATAGCTCAATAGATACTGATTTACTTCTAGATATCTTTCCAAGAACCTATATTAAGATTATCTAGCTATAAATTCTCTTTTAACTTATTTGCTTCGTATAGATTATGTTCCAGTTCATTTGAATATGTAATTTACTAATATGAATATTAAAGTTGTATTCGTATATTTTTATAATAAAGTTCTTTACAAAGTTTGAAAGTCAAAACAATATTTTATTTCTGTCTCGCAGGTCAAAAGAAGTGATAGATCATGGACTAATAATAAGGTTTTCACTAATAGTTCATAGGATAGATACGGTAGAAGGGGTCCCAAATTAATTTCAATTGAAATGATTTAGCGATCATGACATTTTATAATCACTATTCCTTTTTTAATGTTGAAGCACTGACAATTTTACGCCGTGACGTCAGTAACAAAATGAAAAATAAAAGAAATAGAAGTTAAAACTATGGCTGAAAAAAGATTTGCTCCTGATGTATCTACCGCATATCCGTGCTATCGCCATCATGTTATTACTGTATTATTGACTAGATAAAATAGTTTTCAAAAAAGTCCTTTTATGCAATTGCGCTAAATAATTATAAACGTTTAAACTCTTCCGTTCTGAAGTATTACCTAACATATCAATCCTCAAGTTCTATATTTATTCAATATTACCAGTACTACTTGCTGCGAAAATATTCCTCCACTAGTATTTTGACCCATTATATTAGTCTTAAAAGGTATAAATTATTGACATATTTATGTTTACGCAAAAAAGCTGTAATTAGAAGGCTGTAGACATGCCAACTAAATAATAATTAAATATTTGCTATCGTTGATAAATTCAGCTATTAATATCGGGCACCATTACAATATTAGCTAAAGGTTGTAAATTTGGATATGGAATCAATAATTGTGTGAATGACCTAGCAATCAGTAGTATGTAACACTCAAATAATTAAAGAAAGCTGGAACAAGAATACAGCTACATGGGTTATTAATAGCTAATTAGAAAGCTGGAAGAATAATACAGCTACATGAGTTATTAATAGCTAATTAATAATCAACTTTTATGCATTATTGCAATATTACTGTATTTAGGTAAAGGCTACTAGGCATCAAAACTACTATAACTTCTTCAATTTTTTATTATTTCTAAAGTGTTCTTGTGTATTATCTGAGCATTATTCAATCCTCTCGATGATGAAAGTATCTTTATTTTATACTGATACTCGTATGAGAAGGAATACTACATCACTGCTAGGCAATAATATTCTCGGAGATTCTAATCGCTGCTATCCTAGTATATAATAAAATTTAGGTGGCTTTCGTATTTGTACGATGTTCGAATGGAATAGGTATGATGCAAAATGAAAAATTTTATCTACAATCTTAAAAGGATTCTAGCAACCTTTATTACCTGCCTTATTTTGATTTTGCTTCAACTTTGACTCTAAACTGGAGTAGTATTGGTGATATTTATGCAACCTATTTTATTCTTAATCAATTGTTATTAAATTAAAAGAATTGATTATCATTATCTAAACCTACTTAGTTTTTATTTTTCATTATAATTTTGTTGTGATTTTATAATAGTTGTTATGTATTGAAGCTATTAGACGTAGATTTGTAAATCAGTAAGCTACTTACAGTTCGTTGTTCATCATTCAGTATTACAATATGAGATTATGTTGGCTATGTTCCTTTAGAAATTAACTTAGAAATTGCTAATTAATAAAAAGCTTAAAAGTAAGTGCATAAGTAGAACCTTATTCAGAGTACCCGAAGCAATTAGTAAATACCTCAAATAGATTTTACCTTAAATTCAATTAACCGTATTAGTTAAATTTTTTAAAGTAAATTTGTAATATATCATCAATGCTAAAGAGGAAGTTAATTTACATAACAAATAAAAACTCTTCATTAATAGAGAGACATTCATTCTTGCCATGATGAACCTTTTGAGTTATCTTGGAATAATAACTAAAGTAGTATTGCATTAGAAGTTGACCATAGATTTTTGAAACTGTTTAAACTATAATAATAATCAATAAATTTTCAATGTTACTACTATTTTGCTATCCGTTCATCAAGTTACTCAAGGGCATAACAGATGTTAGGATCATCAATATATTTCTTAGGCAATTTACGTCCATTTTTGTTATATCACAAATGGAAAGTCATGTATAACCAATTAATACTAGTAATTACTTAACTTTAACACATGTAATTAGTAATTGGTTTGCTGTTATTACTATTATTGTAATGCGTTGGCAACAGAACTTGTACCCAACAGTATACCTTCGTTTTCAAATTTTGATAATTTAATAATTGAAAAGGGAGATGATAATAATTGTCGTTCACGCATCTAGATTTAAAATTGCCTAATACACAATAAAGCTGACCAAGCTAGAGTCCGATTCAGTTGAAATGATATTAATTAATTAATAAA